GGGGGAAGTCGGATATGTATGCATTATTGTTTTGCTTCCTGCATGTTATTGTCCGCCAGATTTTTTTTTTGGATTTCTTTCTTCTGAAGGTGCGCAGTACGTCTTTGGACAAGTTTGGGCCAGTACATCATGGTACGCCATTTTCTCGCCGGCGGCAGTTGAGTATTATTGACACAATATAACCGACCATTGTTTCTGCCATGTGGACTTGTATCGGCTGGTTTCATACCAGTGTCACTGTACGAGAAGACGACTTCTTGCCCACCGGCTGGGGATCTACTATGATAAATTCCTCATTGTCATTATCACGTCCCCGCGTATCGGGCATGTAGTGAATGCGAGCGAGATGGAATGTCAAATCTGGCCGATGCATGCGAGGAGCGTGACAGGATCGGATTTCGCGCCTGGTTTAAACGGAGTCTACAAGCAATCGGATCTTCGTCCGTTGTATGCCGACTATCGGTTCAGTCAAATCATGACACATGCACTGGGGCCAGCGTGCGTGGTACTCCGGCGCAGTGTCCGGGGAAAAAAAAAGGAAAAAAAAGGAGCGGAAGCGTACGATGAATTTCTCACCGAAAAACATGGTCAGAGGCATCACGGATGCTTGGTGGCGGTCATCCGTGAGTAGAGGCACTGTGACATATAAGAAGAGTGGAGAGTCGAAACGTGCGGTTGCACATTGGTTCGTTCGCGTCTGGATGGATGCTCCAACTGTGGACGATATGGCGGCAGCGCCGTGATGAAGGTGTCTCGCAAGGGAAGGCTTCAACCTGAGTCAACGTCTCGTGGTCGAGCGCATGGATACGGGTGATCAGGAGTCGGCAATGGTAGCCAGTCTCGTCGGGCCTGATAACACTGCAGCGGGACCCCCGGCAGTTGCGGCGGCCCCGAAGATCCGGGCTGCTGCGCAATGAAGGACGACGGTGAGGCTCAAAGGAGAAGCTGGAGTTTCCAATAGCCTCGGCCGTGGGCAAATTTCACCGGGGGATCTGCTGTGAGATGCCGTGCTCCGCCCAAGTCAGTGTTGAGGCACCGGGCCAAGATCTATCGCGACTGCCGCTACCGAGGAGATTGGGCCATGGCGCGTAATAATACGTGATGTGACAAAAGGCGAGGCAGACGGGTGCAATATAGCATCGGAAGTGAGAGAGCGGACCAATGGGAATCGATGCAATGAGTGCTGGGCCGGAGCTCGGTGTTTGGGTCTTCGTTGCCGGGTGGGCAGCCCTACGGGTGGGCAGTTCTAGAAGAGTGGGCTCAAACAGCGTACGCAAGCTCGGAGGCACAGAGCTATTCGGTAGGGCGTGCGGCCAATCAGAAGGGCGGTGTAGCGGCTGACCAGCGGGCACGACCCTTTTGTCGCGGCCGCCCTTGCGCGAGCCGTTTGCAAACAAGCGGCCCTGCGAGTGTTGAGAGCGGCGGCGTGGGTGGCGGCCGCGCGTTGTGCTGGACTCTGGAACGCAGCTGCGGGAATCGGGAATGGCGTTGAACATTCGCAGCGCGTTCCTGGGCCAAAGCCTGCAAAGCCTGCAAAGCCTGCCGCCAGGCCGTGACGCCGCGAGGCCGCGTGGCCGCCGTTTCGACTTGGTGCTGTGCGGCTCTGCACCCCGGCCAGCCAAGCCCGGCTAGCCTGCCTTGGGAAACAATCCATCCCAGCGTCGTGCGTTTGGTCCTTTCCCCTATGGCCTGCCTACTCCAACCGGCGAAGGCGCTGTCCGTGTCCTGCCCATGCCGAGCCGCCTGCGTAATCACTCCGCCTCTGCCCCAGGGACAAGCTGCAGCACCTGGCAGTGGGCCAATGATGAACAAGCCATTTGACCTTGCCAGCTCACAGCGCGCCGCTATATAAGCTGTGCCGGCTATCACTGCTTCTTCTCGACAACACTCGCTGGCTGCATCCTTCCAATCATCCTTCCCTCGTTCATCTTTCCAGTCCAGCCAAAATGGTCCGTCTTGCTGCCGTTGCCGCCGTTGCGGCTGCCACCCTCGTTGTCGCCCACCCCGGCGAGCACCACGACCACGCCCAGGTCAAGCGCGAGGTCTTTGCTCGCGATGTGCTTGCTTCCAAGCAGGCCCGCTCCCTCTCCAAGTGCGCTGGTTCGCTGAAGACGAGGGCTCTCCACGAGCGCGCTGTTGCCCGCCGCGCCGCCACCGCCGAGCGCCTCCGCAAGGAGCGTGGCATCACCAAGGCCGTCAAGCACCGCCGTGACCTTACTGCCCTACAGGAGTTCGAGACGGTCAACCACAACATGACTGGCGTCAACGGCGTCTCCTTTGTTGCCGACTCTTACTTCACCGGCAACACCAGTTGCATCATGACCCCTGAGAACACCATCGGTCCTTACGTATGTTCCCAGCCTTCCCAATCGCACAAACAACCGGCTAACCCCCAATCAAAGTATGTCACCGGCGAGCTCATCCGCCGCGACGTTACCGAGGGACAGGCCGGTGTTCCTCTCCACTTGGACCTCCAGTTCGTTGATGTCAACACGTGCGAGCCCGTGCCGAACCTGTTCATCGATATTTGGGCCGTAAGTTGTGCCGAGTCGAGGATAAGCAGGAGCAGATGCTGATTAGAACAGGCCAACGCCACCGGCGTGTACTCCGGAATCGACGTGTCCAACGGCCAGGGTGGCTTGAACAGCACCTTCCTCCGCGGTGTCCAGGACACCGACGACGAGGGCGTCACTCAGTTCGACACCATCTTCCCCGGCCACTACTCGGGCCGTGCCACCCACGAGCACGTTGTCGCTCACGTCAACGCCTCGGCCGCCGCCAACGGCACCATGATCGGTGGCACCGTCGCCCACATCGGCCAGCTCTTCTTCGACGAGACCCTCCGCAGCGCCGTCGAGGCCACCACTCCCTACAGCGAGAACACTGTCGAGGCCACCACCAACGACGATGACATGTGGGCTCCCTACCAGGCGGACAACAGCTACGACCCCTTCCCGGACTTCATCTACCTCAACAGCGAGGACATCACCGACGGTCTCCTTGCCTGGATCTCCATCGGCATCGACGTCACCGCCGACCGTGACTCCAACGCCACTGCTGCGGCTTACCTCGACGCCTCCGGTGGCCACAGCACCGGCAACACTGTCGGCGGCGGCGGCGGCGATGGTGCTGCCCCCAGCGGCGCCATGCCCAGCGGCGCCGTGCCCAGCGGCGCTGCCCCCAGTGGCACTGTCTCCAAGCGCTCTTGGTTCGCCGAGAAGATGTTCAACGGTGCCGCCCGCCTCATTTAAATGGAAGATGATTGGAAAAGGAATAGAGATGAGCGATGAAGAAGGAGATGCTGTACTGTAACCTTTTTGCATAGAGTAAGGGCGTTTGGGACATGCTTTAGATACCTTGAGATATGCTACGGCTCTCAACATGCAACCGTTTTTTTTTTTTTGGCAATTCCATCGGCCCAATTCCCGTGATGAGTGCTGTGCCGCAGATGGTGACCGTCAGTCCACAGTGGGCAGTAGGAGACCTTCACCTTCCGTGCTCCCGTAAGAGACAGTGCTCTCTCTCTTTCTCTCTCTCTCTCTCTCTCCATGGGCAGCTGAAGCATGTGGCCGGCTGTGGAGAGTCAAGGTGGACCACAGCATCCCGACCTGGACTTCCATTAAGTCTCTCCAGTGAGACGGGCCTGAGAAGGTTACTGCTTGTGAGACATGGTGCAAGTGGCAGATATGACGCCGGGATGGCGAGACTGGTGGACTTGAAGCCTCAAAAAGAGAAGCATCGTCACGCCATGTGAAAGGCTCGGCGAGGCTGCAGGGGGAGTGGGGCTGGCGGGCGGCGGCGGGATCCACCGCGCAACGTGGCGGGAGCCTGACACGGGCGGTCAGACAACAAGCAGGCGGCGAGAGAAGCGCCAAAGGGCATGCGGATGGCGGGCGGGCGGGCGACGGAAGGCGGTAGGCGGTGGTTTGGCGTCAGAGCGACGACTTGGGTGGCGGGCGTGCGGGCGTGCGGGCGTGCGGCTCCCGCTTGGCTCAGCCTTATCGCCTGAACGCCGGGCTTGGCGGCGCACAGACGAGCTGCGGCCCCCGCAACTTCGACGCGCATCTCTCCGCGCCTGCTTTCCACCGCCGCTTCCGTCGCTCTTGCTGCCACCGACTTTCGCTCCGTCGCAGCCATGGCCACCGCCGTAAAGGACGAGGGTGAGTCTGCCCCTTTTGCTCCCCAACATCTCTATGCCCCGCATGTCTCCCCCCAACTCCGCGCGTCGCAGCGGGCTCACCAAGGAGCTCGCCGAACTCTTCGCCTCCAACCCGCACGACGGCCTCTCCATATCCCTCGCTCTCACCACCACCGTTCGCTGCCCGTGCCAGTCGCGGACCAGGACTGGCTTGGTCCAGTGCACCAAGTGTCTCTACCACCAGCATGTTGCATGCTGCTATCCTGCCGCCCGCGACCTCTCTGAGCAAGACCGACAACAACACATCTGCCGATCATGCCAAGCTCTCATCGCCGAACAGCCTACTGACTCCGAGCCAGCGAAGCGCAAGGCCGATGGAGATCTGGGCTCCACGAGCCCCAAGCGCATCAAGCAGTCTAATTCGCCCCAGCCCGAGATCCCCGCCGATCCCAAGGATCCACGTCCGCCCGGGAAGCCCGTCCCATTCCCCGAAAAGGTCGGGCCCGGAGATCACAGACACGTTGGGCTTTTTTGTGCTGATTCGATGCTAGCCCGCTGTTATCGAAGAGCGCAATGGGGAAATCGAGTTCCGAGTCGTCAACAATGACAACGAACGCGAGAGCACCATCATCCTGACCGGCCTCAAGTGCATCTTTCAAAAGCAACTTCCCAAGATGCCCAAAGACTACATTGCTCGACTGGTGTACGACAGGACGCATTTGTCAATGGCCATTGTGAAGAAGCCACTGGAGGTTGTAGGGTAAGCATCCCTGCTGCTGCACGGCCTGAAGCCGGGTCCTGTGAGCTTGGAATAACGTCGGCCAGTGGAATCACCTATCGCCCTTTCGTCAATCGAAGCTTCGCCGAAATCGTCTTCTGTGCCATCTCGTCAGACCAGCAAGTCAAGGGCTACGGTGCCCATCTCATGTCGCACTTGAAAGATTACGTCAAGGTCTCGACTCAGGAACGGATCATGCACTTCCTCACTTACGCCGACAATTACGCCATTGGCTATTTCAAGAAACAGGGCTTCACCAAGGAAATCGTGCTACCAAAGCCGCAGTGGATGGGCTATATCAAGGATTATGAGGGAGGCACCATCATGCAGTGCAGCATGGTCCCGAAGATACGCTACTTAGAGGTCGGACGCATGTTGCTCAAGCAGAAAGAGGCTGTACATGCCAAGATCAAGGCAGTTAGCCGCAGTTACGATGTCCACCCTCCACCGGCGGAATGGCAAAAGGGCGCTATCACGAAGATCGATCCTCTCACGATACCGGCAATCAAAGCCTCCGGCTGGTCAATGGATATGGACGAGCTCTCTCGCGCCCCGCGTCACGGTCCCAACTATAACCAGCTGTTGCACTTGCTCAACGATATGCAGAATAACACAAACGCCTGGCCGTTTCTGCAACCTGTCAACAAAGACGAGGTTGCCGACTATTACGACGTCATCAAGGAGCCAATGGATCTCGAGACCATGGAGTCGAAGCACGAAAAGGACATGTACCCCACCCCCGAAGACTTCATCAAGGACGCCATGCTCATATTCAACAACTGCCGTCGCTATAACAACGAGAGCACCCCATATGCCAAGGCGGCGAACAAGCTTGAGAAGTACATGTGGAGCAGGATCAGGGAGATTCCCGAATGGAGTCACCTTGAGGGAGATTATGCGCACGTCAAGTGAGAGTAGGATGCTGGTGGAGTGAAAAGGGTGTTGGTTGTATCATTTTAAAATACCCGGCGTTTGGGTTGGGCCACGATCGAAAGGCATGAATGAGTACAGGGCACATGGAGTTCTGGGGAATTTCGAAATGCCTAAGGGCTTTCGGGGGCGAATCCGTCCATTCAAACAGCAGAGAAAGCATCTTGCCACGAATTCAATCCTCTCAATTAATGCATGAAGGCGTCAATGAAAATTGGGCGTGCACTTTCGAACGTGCCGTCACTGGTGTAAATGTAGTAGACCTTTATCTGGATGTACAACATCATAGCCTGTCGGTGAACATTATTAAAACAGCTTGGAGAATACTAGAATCTACAAAATCACTACTTCTTGTCAAACGATGCACATGCTCAGTGCGAAAAAGAAACAGTGATCTTGAGGGCCGGTTCGATCTCGAAGTAAATTGACAAGCCACTGCGAAACTTCAATAATCGCACTTCCGCTCAGCTGCACACGCAGACTGTCATACTTTATAATCTCCTAGTCAGCTCTGTTCATTCTGTCACTGCAAGGTGAAGTGCTGAAATTACCAGTCTATTATGACCTACAAAACAGAAGCCATCTCAAACAACGAAACAGGCTACTTTTCGCTTCCTCGCAAAGATCAAAGGGTCAGCCAGCCAGGTTCATCAAATCCGTCGGCTCAGCCACCGAATTCCAACAATTAGGAACAATGATGGGGCAGGAAGAACGGACTGCAGATAACCGTGTAGTAGGCTGTCTAGCAAGCTTGCATCACCACCGCCACCGGCATCATCATCGTCGTCGTCGTCATCGTCCTTGAGCCTTGTCGAACACGCCCGCTTATGGAAATGCTGGGAAAGTTGCTTTGAAGGAAGGAGTAGAGCAGCGATTGAGCGGATACGCCGGGCCCGAGCCGCACTGACAGTGTTGTGTTTGCCATGCTTGATCGCACCGGGCGATCATTGCTGTAAGGGCCGAAGGTCAATGGAAACAGAGGGCTTCTATTGCTAATCTGCGCGCACTTTTAGCGTCCCAAATTCGGCGAGCGGCTCGCTGATATCCGTGGTAGATTACTGGGCAAAGAAGTCGTGTCAACGTGGTATGACCGGCTGAGGAGCTGCTCAACAGCAATCCACGTCGGGGTTTGCTTTTGCAAACGGATTGCCGATGCTGTAGGGTGATATTGAAACTCATCATGCAGATACTTTTTATTTATCCGACTGTTACCTCTCAAGTCACCATCGCACATCCCAACAAGGCCGAGCAGGATTTTCATCAATTCATAGGAGCCTTGCCTACCGCTACTCTACTGGGGTAGGTGGTATTGTCTTTAAATAAATGAAAAATCGGAAAAGGAGAGCGAGACCTTGAGCAGATAACCAGATAAAAAGCAAGCACTACTCCACCCAAAGTTGATGAGCAACTGAGGTGCATACAGGGAAGAGAAGTGGAAATGGAGAGTGGGAGATAGAAGCAGAAAAGCAAGGATTCACTCGCTGGAATGGCACCCTCCCTCTATAGCCGTTAATAAGCCGCTTGAACCTGGCTGCATAGAATTGTGCCCTCGTTCATGGATTGGATCATCGCGCAGCTAGCCAAAGATACCCTCGCGCACTACGCCCGTTTCGAGACTGCAAGTTTAAGTGAGAGAGTGAGAGAAGGCGAGAAGTAAGATGCTCCGCCCCAAAATTGGAACGCGGGAGCGAGAAACAGTTTTGAAGCGGATCACCTCTAGTAGGCACCGGCAGTCGAAGAGGAAGTTCGACGCCGAGCCCATGCTTGTATCCAATCTAGTGCTGGTTAAGGCCAGGAAACGTGAAGACAATAATGGAAGAAGTCCCGCTTTTCTGAAGCCGATTTCAAGCTTAATAGCTCTGTCTTGACTCCAATAACGACAACCTGTTTCCCACCTTCGCTAAGGTTCGAGGTCATGGCCGTGTGATTGAAGTGTTGTAAGCGAAGATTAGAGCATTATCGTGGATAGCGCCCTTGGCAAGGAGATTGAGGTCGGCCATGCTGTTATAGTACAGGGATGTGTTAGTAGAGAGAAGGTAGGATTCCCGTGAGCCTGAAATATCATATTGCTGATACAAGCAAGGATGGCGACTGCAGGCGGCGTGAAAATCACCACTCGAATTCGCCTTGGGCTTTATGGAAGAGGTAGCTGAAAAAAATGTTAGCGTTTGCAAAGAATAGAAGGTTGATACGACCTACTCCTTGCCGCCTGTGGAAAGCACACCGTCCTTGAGAGTGCACTTCCACTTGTTCTTGACGCGTTGGACCTTGTCGTACGTGCAGATCATGGTATCGCCCTGAGGACCGTCATCGTCACCCTCTTGAATCTGTTCCTCGTCGGAATCATCGAGATCCGAGTTGATTGCCTCATCGTCATTCTCCTCTTTCTCGTCCTCGACACCGAGCTCTCCATCTAGTTGGGGGATGCTGGAGGTGCCAGACGGCCCTGAAGTAGCGAGCGCTCGACGCTTCTTTCCATTGAGAGCCGGAAGCTCTTCAATCGGCTGCAGCAAGCCGCTCTCCAGGACATCCATCTTCTGCTCGAATTGAGCACGGAGGATGCCATCCGCATGGAGCCTGGCCTCGTCAGCCTCTGCACGTCTCGCATTCACCAGCGATCTCCATTGGTCCTCGGCATCTCCAGCCCCGTCGGTTTGAGCAGCATACACAGAGTTCGGCTGCTGTTGCTGGGGTTGGTTGGGGGGATGGCCCTGCTGTTGCGGCGGTGGGTGCTGTTGAGCTTGTTGCTGGCGGTTCGGAGGCATCTGAAGATTCATGGGACGCTGCTGCTGCTGCTGCTGCTGCGGCGGCGGCGGCTGCTGCTGGTGGTGGCCAGGGAGGCCAACATTGTTCTGCGGGGGATACGCCGAGGCAATTGAAGCCTGAGCTTGAGCGCCAAAGTTCTGTTGTAGCAGGGCGGCAGCACGCTGTTGGGCGACATTGCCGTTGGGAAGGCTGTAGCCATTCATGTTGTAGCCGGGCATGCTGTTCTCATAGCCGTTGCCCGGCTCCTGCTTGACGCGAACCTGGGATCCGTATTGCTGATTGGGCGGTTGCGAGGCGGCAGGCGGCATCTGCTGCTGCATCGTCGGCTTTGCAGCATCATTCGACGGGACAGTCGGCGGGTTGCTGATCTGCGGCTGCGGCGGCGGCGGGTCCCACGGCATCTGGGCCACATGGAGAGCCGAGAGTTTCTTCTGCCATATCTGCGAGGCGGTCAGCGGTCTCCAGGGCTCAGTAGCGAGGGTGGTGATGCGAAGAGAAGGCGCATCACGTGCGCGTGCTAGCCGAAATGAGCAAGGCGCCTGAAACGTGGGGCGGGAAAATTTGGTTGGGGTATAAAATAGGCGAAGGCAGATACAAAGGAGCAGGCACTGCCCTCCCCCGATCGCCTCAGAGCCCGCCGGCTCCTTCGAGCCCAGCCAACCCCGCTTTTACTGCCATCCTCGCCCGTCGGCAGCCTGGCCCGATCACTGGCCTGCCGCCTGCGCTGACACCAAGGGAAAAAGAAAAGACATGCAAAGAAGAATGCGGGCTGCGGCTCGCACCGCGGTCGCGGTCGCGGGCCCGCTGCAGAGCCGGGCGGGTTGGGTGCAAGGTGGCGAAACATGACAACGGGCGCAGATCCACGAACCTCTTTCATCTCCTGCAGCGTCTGCTGGTCGACACCGCTCTCCTCGAAGTCATTCTGCGATGCCTGCACGACGCGATCGATGATCTGCGCAAAGGTGGTGCCCTGCTCATACTGCGTCAGCGCAACCGCCCGGACGGAGTGACGACGGGGAGCTGGGCCGCTGGGCCGCGGAGCCGTGGAGCCTGTCGCTACTGACCGTGATCGAGTTGGACATGATGGCGGCGGGGCGGCCTGCAGGCCGAGTGCGGAAATGGAGAGCTGGGGAGCGGAGGCGGGTGAGGCTGGGCGGCCGTGTCACGGAAGCGCTGGTGGTGTCGCGCGAGGTGGTGGATTGGAAGGCCCGACCGACGTCGGCACTGGGGCCGCCGCTGTGCGCTCTGCTTTCTTCTAGCCGCTACTTGTCTTGCTATCAACAATAGTGCTCGTCGGGCGCCGTGCAGAGGTGCAGGGACGGGCGTTGTGGTGGCCGTGTCTTTGTATGCGAGGTAGATGGTTTGGTGATGGGCGGCAGTAGGCCAACGAAGTGCAAGCCAGGCAGAGCGCCGCATGCAATTGCCCGCGGTTTTGCCGCCGACCAACCCTTTCCAAACTCAGCTGCCACCCGCGCACCCTCGTCGCCCAGCTGCGCCCTCGGACGTAGCGTGCACACACTCTTGGCCTTCGTCTTCCACTTGCTGCGCTTCCGTGCATTGCTCGCGCTGCTTCGCGTGTGCCAGGCCGGTAACACAGCGGGTAGGGCGCGCGCATTGAGGGGCAGCCTTGGCGATCTGCCTGCAAGGGCGACGTACGTCGAACGCAAGGGTATCATCACAAAGCCGGATAACAATGGAGCCCGATTGTTCTTGCTGTCTCGTGCTATCTAAGATTGAGCTCACTTCTGCACCCCCATGAATGATCCCCGTTCATTCATCTGCATGCAGCCGCGCGACCTTGCAACCTGTGAGTCTTCGCGCTCGTAACCTCATCGCGGCCAATCTCAACGCGTGCAACTTCGAGCAGGAGAAAAAGGGAGAAAAAGGAAACAAGAAAGGAAAGTGCCCGATGGTCGCAATTCAGATCCGCTCCGAGGCCTCAATTTCAGCCCTGAACTTGTCATATTCTCGGACCTCTGCATCCGTCGGACGCATTTCCTTTCCGTGGAACCTGATCGGATCTTGATTAGTTTTTCTTCTTAGATGAAATAAGCACGCCATCTTGGCACCGTCGACAACTTGGTAACTGAGGACTTCGTAGCAGCCATCGTAACGAAATCCGCGTGGAGGCCGGTACGTTGCTGCCCGGGCAGAGAGATTGTGAGACCTGATGACTCTAACCTCTCTACCACTGGTGATGTTTAGCATCAAGCTTTGCGTGTTGTCAGACGCTTTGCCGTCCTTTCCATCAGTGCCGGAATACCAAATCTGTTCGCCTTCATCTCGGTCCTGGTAGTGACTTCCCGACAGGACAATCGAATATGCTGGCTTTCCTTTAGTAGCGTAGATGCCGCCTTGAGTGGATCCGTGAGCACCGTCTCGGACAGTGCATAGCTGCGTAGGCCACCACTGTCCGTTCACAAGACTTCCCTCACCGTAGTAGTCGGCCCTCTCTTTGCCAGGATATGCGGGGTCTATCCGATCGGTAGATCGGTTACCTGCTGTAGCCTGCCGCTTGATGATTCCTCGAAGCAGGTCGATGGAGAAAACACGGAGAGCCCATCTGTTATAGAGCTCCAACGCATCGGCTCGGATATCCCAAGGGAAGGCCATGTCGAAGAGTTGCGGGAGGCCAGAGTCGTCATGAAGCATCCGTTTACGTCTAAGCGCAACGTCTGAAACTTGAAGAAATACCAGGTCATGGAGTTCGTCCCGAATCTGGTCGAATAAACGATGTGCTTCGGCCCCATGCTCTTCTTCTTTGCATTTCTTGATGAGATGTTTGACCTGCTCAAGCTTGGCATCAACGTTTCGATTGGTACCGACATTGTTGCGGCTGCTCCCGGTTTGTTGCCACTTTTGCTGGCGCATTGAAGTGTACCATATGGGCTGCACTTGCTTTGGGGGTTCATGGGCGTCGCTAGTGTCACTGCTATCTGTCGACCTTGATGCGCTTCCACGGCGCGCATCATTAGCGGGATCAGGGGACCTTTGCTCGTTCTGCTGAAGGCGTTGTAGGCTCACACCGAGCACAGGTGTAGAGGGTGACTGCACGGCGGGAGCAACGTGTCGAGTCGAAGCCTTTGCTTCTTCGGCCTGTTTTTCCAAGATCGCGGCCATTCTCTCTCTAGCACGCTGTTTTCGTTCCTCAGGTGTCGGTCTTTTCTCCAGTAACCAGTCAGGTGGAGCCATGACTGCTATCGATAGGCGGACACGTCTGGTGCGTGCAGACGCGTCGCGCGAACGCTCTGATGGCGACGAGTCAAAGTGAGCGAGTGAGGACGTGTTGCGCAAGCTGGACAGCTCAAGGTGAGGTCGTATGTGTAAGTGTGGCTTGTTCGGGGCTCAGGTGAGAGCGTGAGTTTTATGTCGTCGCCTGAGCCGTGTCTGAGAGAGATCACGTGCTAGAGTTTGAGAGGCGTGGTGCTTGAGAAGTAGGTAGGTAGGTTGTTTGTTTATGTTATTAAGCGTGGGTTAATAGCCGATTCAAACTTGATCCAAGCGTCGCGGCGGATACCCGGTCCCGTCATGAGCGGCACCGCAAATCATCACTACCTAGACCTAGATAGCGCAGAGATCAAGCTCTATTTCAATGGGCTGGAGTATCCTGCGCTGTCTGAGGCGTTATTTTGACATCTATATGGAGGCCATCTGCTGCAGAATGCGACTTGGAGATGTGCGACTCCCCCATGAGATGCAGCGCAAAATAGCGTGAAATCATTGACCCGTGAGCCATAGTGCTTGCATTCAGCTATCTAGCAAACTGCTCATGTGCTTGGCACTTTCTGGTGGTTTGGCGGATCATTTCCAGTAGAAATTGAGTTGTACCTATGGTGGATGCAGGGGCGCAGGCACCAGCGCGCTTTGTGACGTTGACGCCGAGCGCCAGACGGTTGCTTCCCCAGACTTTTAGAAAACTTCCTCCACGCACCACCATCCCATCCCACGCCGTCCCTCGCAACACCATGGTATGTGATCTGCAGCCCTTGCGACTCAAGCACATACTCACCGCGCTCATAGGCACCCACCAAAGGCAAGCGTGCCTCCTTGCGCGCTAAAGCATCCAAATCCACCACTCCCTCTAATGTGCCCGCTTCCGACGTCGCCGTGGCGAGTGGCGCCGCCGTCGACACACCATTTTCCTCGTTCCGCGTTACCAAGAAAGACAAACGTGAGATGAAGCACTCCCTCCTCATGTCGAAGGTGCAAAAGTCCGCCGCCCCGAAGAAGAAGCGCCGTCCGAACAAGCAACTGGTCACAACGCTTGAGTCGCTCGCCGATGCGCTACCGGACGCAGAGGACGATGACGGCGCAGATGCAGACGGCGAGGATGGCGCTGTCGAGGTTGGACAGGCGAAGATCAAGCACAAGAGCCTGAAGAGCAGGCCCGGAGCGTTGAAGAGGAAGCAGAAGCTTGAGCGCATGGAACAGGATCGCTTTGAGAAGAACTTGGCGCTCATGTCTACAGGCGCTTCGCAGGCCCCACAAGGCAAATCGCTAGATGATACGGAAATGGGCAACGCCCCGCTGGCTGCGCCTACGGCCAACAGGTGGTCGGCTCTGAGAAATTTCATTGAAAGCACCATGGAGAAAAAGAAGGATTTCGTTTCTAGCTGAACTCGGATCGGCTTCGACAGGTCGTGAGATCGGGACATCCCCTCATTTCAATCCATATCGCGATGGCATGACATCCGCAAGAGAAAGCACCCCGCCGGTCGTTGGGGGGCCAGGCCCAATTACCGTTGCATCTTAAGAGATCGGGGTTCTACTGGCTGGTCGGAATGATCACAATGTCGATGCTGAGCTACTGTGGAAACAGGCGAAATCGATAGAAATAGATTCATCGGCAAGCATGTATGGAAAGGATTTCTAAAGAGTGGCTTCATTGTCACACACCAGGGTATCTATAGTTAAAATTTTAAACAAACTAGATAGACAATACTAGCAGAATATGCAGTGCCCATGCTTTATGGACGTCTTATCTTCTCAATTGTTGCTTACATCAAAAACGAAAGCGTCATGTTCAATGTAGCTCTCCTGGGCGTTATTACCTCATCAAACATGAAAACGGGCTCGTATGGCCCCGACCTCCTCCTTCCACCAACGCCCTAACCAAATACATCCCCAGACGGGACATTTCTATCTCCTCTTGCTGTGCTAGGTGACTCTTCCTCCCGGGCACATTGTGGAGTCAGAATTCCGGCATCGCATGGTGCGTAGGACTTGACCTCATGGTGGGCTCCTAATGCCATCTCTGGAGATGAGGCGAGTTGATGTTGGGGTCTTTGTGTGCTAGTTGTCCACATCTGAGAACTTCATGCGTCGTGACTTAGCCACTACCACTGCTATTTCCCATTGGTAATGACGGTGGGTGTTGGGTTCCATTCGTAGTCAAGCTTTGCCTCTTTTTCTCTTTCTTCGCCCATCGTACTGTTATATGTATTAGTCTGCAGAACATCGATACTTGCGCACCAAAGAAAAAAAGATAAAACTCACGTCCACAGGCGTTGCACAAAGTCTTGGGTCCATTTGGGCCTTTCCTCCACTCGGGCGAGTCCAGCGTGCCGCAGTCTGTGCACACGTACTCATCCGCAACCTTCAACTTCTTCTTCTTATCCGAACTTCCTCTATTGTCCTTGTCGACTAGGATCGCGATGCCCGCATCTCCTCTGATCAAAGCCGGACTTGTGTCCCCTGTGCTGATACCCTGCGACCTCTCTCCGTCGCGGTATCTCAAACCAGTAAGCATTTCAATCGTATCAATGTGTGTGGCGCCCTCGTAGCGTGCCATCTTGTCGTTGATGCTATCCGGTTTCGAGGCTGCAAGGACCTCATCCAGGTTTTGGCGCGTGAGTGCTGCGTTGGAAACGCCGGGTCGCGGTGGCGGCGGCATACCACCGCTGTTGGACATGGGGGTCTCATTTCCTGTCTTGGTCGCATCCGTCGCAGACGGCGTGACGCTACCGGGCGTTTCCTGCTTCTTTATCCAGTGCCGGTCCTGAGCCTCTTGCTCCTCCTGCTCTTCGCGCTTGAGTTCCGCAACCCGCTTCGTGAGGCGCTCGTTCTCGATCTTGTGTTCCAGGAAGGAGTCCAACAAGGAGGTGTTTTTGATCGGATACGGCCGGGCCATCATGAAGAAACCTCTGCAAAAGGCGAAGGAACTCGAACCTGCAAACCTCGGGGCCTGCTGGTCGAAGTGGCCGTGGCCATGCGACTCGAAGATGACGTAGGAACCATCGGCCTTGCGGAAGCGGTAGAAGAAGCGCAGCGCGTTCTGCGAGGCAATGGATTCGTTGAACTCGCGGATGAAGATGCCGCTGTCATCGCCGTGGATGAAGTCCGTCACAATGCGGCCGACGAGCTGCTGCGGCTCCCAGCCGGTGAGGGCCTTGCAGGAGGGCGAGACGTAGACGATGCGGCCGTCGGGGGTGAGGATGTGCAGCAGGTCGCGCAGCTCCTCGATGACGCGCTGCGACCAATTGCGGCGCTTGGTGAACTCGGTCAGCGTGCTGCCGGACGGGTTCTGGCTGGGCATGCCGAAGCCGGTGGGCAACGGGCCTGCGCCAATGCCGGACATGGAGTAGCTGGTGGAAACGGTGGGCTGGACGGCGAAGGCGTCGTGGGAGTCGGCCGGGGTGGACTGCGAGTGCGGCGGCTGCGCGGCGATCGGGGTGTTGTACGACTGGGTCGGGGCGTCGCGGTCGGGGCCCATGGCTCCCAGATCGAGGTCCATGGACAGCATGTTCACGTCCATGCCGTCGAGCAGGCCATTCTGGTCGACGAAGGGCGGCATCTGGACCATTCCCGGCGGGCCGCCCGCCATCTTCGGTGCAGCATGTCAGCGGAGAAGGTGCGACTGGGGTGCGGGACTGCGCGCGGTGGCAGCGCTTCGCGGGCGGGCGTAGAGGTGCTCACATCACCGGTAACACCGCCATTTTGGTACATGGTGGGGGGCTCAAGCGCGAGGCTGGGGGCGGCTACATGCACTCTGGCAGCGGCGCAGTGGTACGAGTGAAGGGCTGTTGGTCAACGGTGTAGGCATGGGCAACAGGGCAGGGCAGAGGTGAGAGAATGCGACCGGTAGCTGGAGCGAGCCGCTCCAAGCACTGGGGCGCAGGTCCGCCGCGCTTGGTGAAGGGTCGGGCTAGTTGGGCTCTGCGCGCAGCCACTGACGAAGGCCGTCGTCTAGGTCCTTCGAGATCGATCGTTGATTCCTCGCCTCACGCCCGCCCGAAGCGGCCTACCGTCGGCCCACCCGCCCGTGCAGCAGCCCCGGCCCGTCCACCCTCTGCGGTCACGGGAGCGCGCGCCTCCGCAACGCGTCTGCCTGCCGTCTGCCTGCCCAGGTGCTTGCCGCGCCGTCAACCTCACCGTCTCCTGCACCTCGCTGCCTGCGCCGTCCCATTGCTTCTACACCGCACGCCTCCATCTGCGACTGCTTCGACGTTGGACGTGCGCTCGGTCTGCCCGCGTGCTCTGAGGCCGTCGCCATGTAAGTGCTCCCGCCAGCAAAATGCCGCAGCTGACAGGTATGCGCGCGCGTTTCGGGGCCCTGCTGACTGTTGCCAGGTGTGAGTGGTGCACCCTCCTGGCGTCTGCCATGTGCCGTCCGAACTGACCGTTGTTCTTTACAGCGTACATCGACAAGCTGTCCATCCTGGGGTAGACCGCCGCCCCCGCCTATGCGCATTCGTCCTGGTGTCATGCTAATCCGCCCACCAGCGTCCGTTCGTTCGACAACCGAGTCAGCGAGACGATCCAATTCTATAGCCCGCTCACGCTCATTGTCGGCATGAACGGTTCCGGCAAAACGGTATACTTCCCGTCCCAGTCCCGCCGAACCTGCCTAGAACTGCGCTGACGTTGCAGACCATCATCGAATGTCTCAAGTATGCCACGACCGGAGAGCTGCCGCCCAATTCCGATCGCGGCAAGTCGTTCATCCATGACCCCAACGTCCGTGTAGCTTCCCTCTTGGATATCAGGCGCTGACCCTGTTCACAGCTGTGCGGTGAGAAGGAGGTTTTGGCCCAGGTCAAGATGTCCTTCAAGGCTACATCCGGCGTTAAGATGGTTGCGACCCGCAGTTTGCAGATGACGGTGAAGAAAACCGCGAAGCAAGTTAGCCGCTCGGTAAAGGCGCTTGAGGGCCAGCTGCTCATGGTCAAGGATGGCGAGCGCACTTCCGTCTCCTCACGGGTTGCGGAGCTGAACCAGATCGTGCCCCAGTACCTCGGAGTGTCGTCCGCAATCCTCGAGTATGTTATCTTCTGCCACCAGGAAGATAGCATGTGGCCCATGAGCGAACCAAGCGTGCTCAAGAAGCGCTTCGACGAAATATTCGAGGCTCTGAAGTACACCAAGGCCATTGAGAACATCAAACTTGTGCAGAAGCGCCAAGCTGACGAGTTGGCGAAGCACAAGATAGTTGAGCAACATGCTAAAGAAGACAAAGATAAAGGCGAGCGCGCCGAGAAGCGAATGGCCGAACTCTACAACGACATCGAGCAGCTTCGGCACGAGATTAATGATCTCGAAGCTCGTGGCGAAGAGTCTAAACGCCGTTCCGAAGAAGCTTACAACCGCGCTGCCCAATTTCAGAACATCATGGCCAAGCTCGAGGGGAAGCACATCGAGGCGGCTGCCACCGAGAAGAATGTCGAGGAGCTGCGACTGCATATCCAGGAGATGACTGACACAGATGAAGAGCTACGAGAGCATCTTAGCCAGTACGACGAACGAGTTCAGCTGTACGAGCAAGACCGCGAGAACAAAGAACAATCCTTCAAAGAAATCGTTAAAGCGTTGGTACGCATTGATGGCTCCATTGGAACCAAGCAGACCGAGATCGGAAAGCACGAAGCCAACAAATCTGCGTACGAACGCCAGATTCAGTCCAGAGGAGGTATCGTTAAGAAAACTGCCGACCGTTACGGCATCCGTGGATTTGATTTTGACGTCAATGATGAGCAAGTGGAGGATTTCATAGTGCGAATCGACCGACTAGCAAGAGAACAGCAGAGAGCGTTGGAACGCGCCCGGAAACAGAAAGAAGAGGAGCTCCAGGCCGCCAATGGGGAACTCAAACAAGCCAACAACCGGAAAGCCGCGCTAGAGACAAACAAGGAAAACCTCAAGAAACAGATGGCGAACAACGATCAGAGGCTATCTAAATTACAAGAGAAGGTCAACGATATTGACATTGACGAAGGTCGCAAGGCAACACTCGAATCGTCATTAGAAGACCTCTCCAGGCGCTTGAACAAAGCTAAAGAGTATGGCGATGCGGGCCAATGGGACGAGAAGCTCCGTGAGGCGAACGACCAAATGCGCGATATTGACGACAAGAAGGAAAGGCTCAACACCGAGATGGTCGATGCTATACGCAGAGCTCAAGATTCGGCGCAGCTGGACTACGTACGCAAGCAGTTGAAGGAAAGGCAGACAAGTCTGACAACAAACACTGGCGTTCATCGTCAGAGGATTTCAGATATCATTGGAGCGACTTGGGAACCGAGTACACTTGAATCAAACTTCAGCAAGATCTTGCACCAGAGATCCGAGGAAGTTAGTGAGGCGGAACTTCAACGAGACGGCACAACTCGGGAGCTTGAAAAAGTCAATTTCGAAGCGACGACCGCTAAGAGAGAGCTCAGCAAGAAACATGCGGAGCTGGAACAATGCGAAGAACGTGTCAGCACGGCGCTCTCTGAAGACGAATCGCTGGAAGACTTTCCAGAAGCGCTAGAAACCGCTACCAAGAGTTTCGCCGTGGCGCAAGGTGACGCAACCAGCTTTGGCCACATGGGAAAGTACTTCAAGAACTGCATGAAGACCCTGGAGGAGCATAACATATGCCAGCTCTGCTTTCGTGATTTCAGCAAGGCCGATGAAAAGACTTCCGATGAAAAGAGTACCTTCCGGAGGCGGTTGGACGCCAAAATCCAGGAAGCCATCAAAACGAACTACCAGGACCTATTGGAGCAGCACCGGTTGGAACTGGCCAAGCTGCGCGAGGTTCAGCCCGATTATGACACCTGGAAACGCCTGAAAGAGACCGAGATTCCTGAGCTTGAGACTTTGTGTCATGGGCGCGAATCGCGGCGTGATGATCTCTTGAGAGTCATTGAGGAACAAGACGAACGCGTTAAGGAGCGCCGGGAGGCGAAAAAGGACATTGATTTCCTCTCCAAAGATGTCAGCTCCATCGTGCAAGACTACAAGATGATACGTGGGTTCGAAGAAGAGATCAGGACGCTGTCGGCCGGGCAGGCGCAAGCAGGTGCTTCTAGGGGCGTCGAAAGTATTCAGAATGAGCTCAAGCAGATCAACGACCAGTCAAAGGACATCAAGACCGCTTTGATGCAGCTGACAAAGGAGAAGGATCGATCGCGTGAGCAAATCACGGGTCTTGAGCTTAAGTCGACGGATATTGGCGGCCAGATCGCAAGAGCAGAGTACGCTCTGAGAGAGAAAAACGGCCTGCTCTCTCAAGTCCAAGATCTGAAATCCCAGAACGGGGAGCATCAGGAGTCAATGCGCCAGACCGATACAGAAATCAAAAACGTGAACGCCGAAGTAGAGCAAGCCCAGGCCAAGTGCGAGGCGATCAAAAAGCGAAGCGAGGAGAAGGAAGAAGAGCTTCAATTATCGCACCAAAGTATCAGCAACAGCCTTCGTGATTTGGAGCAGGCCAGCAAAGAAATCGCGGTCTATATCGAAAGTGGCGGCACCGAATTGCTGACGCAAGCTCGCCGCGAATTTGACCTCTTACAAGTCGAACGCCAGCAGTCAGTCGAGAAGCAGGATCAGGTCACAGGGGAGATCAAAGAGATTGACAAGCAGCTTCACAATCACACTGAGACCAAACGAAGGATTAACGACAACCTAAGATACAGGTCAGGAATGAAGGACCTTGTGGAAATTCGCAAGAAAATCGAAGAGCTTGAGGCGCACAATGCGGAGGATGACAAGAACTTCTACGAACAAGAAGGAAAAAAGCATCAATCAGAACGGAACAGGCTGAGTGCCGAACAGGCCAGTGTCATCGCCGTGATGAAGACCAAGGATGACCAGCTCCAGGAGTTGTATGGAGATTGGGAGACGGATTACAAGGACGCGGCGAAGAACTACAAAGAATCACACATCAAGGTCGAGACGACTAAAGCGGCAGTTGCGGATCTCACCAAGTACGCGGGTGCTCTTGATAAGGCGATCGTCAAGTACCACAGTCTGAAGCTCGAAGAAATCAACCGGATCATCGAGGAACTGTGGAAGAAGACGTACCAAGGTACCGACGTGGACACGATCATGATCAGGTCGGAGAACGAGATGGCAAGCAACAAGCGCAGCTACAACTACCGGGTGGTTATGGTCAAGCAGGATGCGGAACTGGACATGCGCGGTCGTTGCAGCGCGGGTCAAAAGATACTCGCTAGCATCATCGTTCGTCTGGCTTTGGCCGAGTGCTTCGGCGTCAACTGCGGACTCATCGCACTAGATGAACCCACGACGAACCTTGACCGAGACAACATCCGAGCGCTTGCTGAGTCACTTGCCGAGATCATCCGGGTGCGCCGCCAGCAGAGTAACTTCCAACTCATCGTCATCACGCACGACGAGGAGTTCCTGCGGTACATGCAATGCGGGGATTTCAGCGACTACTACTACCGGGTTTCTCGTAACGAGAAGCAAAAGAGCACGATTGAGAAGCAGTCGATTGCCGAGGTAAATTGGATTGATTTAGACTCAGATGTCAGACGAGCACTAACGACATGGTGTGCAGGTGTTGTAAGGATGACGGAATGGGCACAGGATGCAGCAGCCATCGGGACAGTTGACCGGATGAGGGTTGCTTGTTCTGCAACTCGGAAAACTTGCATCTCTCAGCGGGTACCAAGGTACCACGGCAGCTCGGGCGTACATGAGATTGAGGGGCCGGTGGTTTAGGCGGTGTTGGGCGTTTACAAAGGAGCATGTTTCTAGAGCTGCTCTTCTCCAGGGTGCACGCTTGGAAGGAAATGTAAGGTAGCTGGGAGTCTGGGTCAAGCTATTCGCGAAGTCGGTTGCGTTCTCGGGGTCTTGCAGGGACTGACGTCGTGTGCATGTCCAGATGGCACGGCATCCGCCCCCGCCGAAAATCACAGTCGATCATGGTGGGTCCCGTCAGTTGGGGGCGTTCGGCTAATTTTGGAGCGACGGAGTCGTCGAGACAACACGGGTGAAGATGTTGGCCGCCCGAGTTGCAGGGTCTGGCATGGCGCCACGCGCAGTCCCACGTCCTGCTCCTGCTCCCGGTTGGTCGGCACCGGGTGAACAATATCAGCTGCTGTGCCCGGCTCGGCGACTTCATCCTCGCCACGCCCCGCACGCCCTCTCGCAGCTGCTACCTACTTGATGGTGCTGTCGTGCATGTAGGGTTTGCCATGGTGGCTGCGCTTGGGCCCGAACAGGCAGCCGCGAAGCCGCAGCCAAAGTCTACAGGCCGCCGCCCAAGTACGTCGAAGTCAGCGGCGCTCGATCCCGGACGCGTTTGGGGCGGCAGTTGGACGGGGGCCGGGGCAGGGCTGTTGGAGGCCGTGTCACGAGCAGGCGGTGATTGGCGGTGATTGGCGGCGGGCGGCGGCGGGCGGCGGCGTGACAGCATGACGACGGCAATGATCTGCTCCTCGAGCTCCGCGCGAGCACGTTCCTGGACCCGGCCATCACCCAGCGAACTGCACCTGCGCGGGTGGCGCAAACAGCAAGCCAACAAACATGGAAGGCCCCTTGCCTCGGCGTTTCAGCGCCGATCTTTTGCTGCGCCGGGCAGCACCGCACGCTGTTCCTGGAACCCGCACACCGGTCAGCAACTTGTGCACTGGTGCCAGCAAACCTCGCGCCTCGCTATAGCTGCTGTGCTGCTTCCCTGTCACCTGGGCCAGCTCCTGACTAGCTTTCTCCGCAATCGTCCTTTCATCTACGGGTTACTGCTTAGCAGCCCAATTGGCACCATGCACCCCAGCGATCCCTTCCCCGACCGCCCCCATGCCGCCGCCCGCCTGAAGGTCTAAAAGGACGCCTGGCTGCCCAGCATTCCTGGCCGCCGGCCTTCAAAACCCCAGGCTTCTTCCGTCCCGCCTCGTCGTGTTTACAGTCTTTTGAAGGCACCGAGCGTTTCCGTTATAACTGCCCGTCTCCATTCCACTCGGTAGCCATGCTTTCGAGATACTTGGCTTCCGCCTTGCTGGCCGCTCACGCCGCCCTGGCTGGTGTCATGTGCGTGACACCCGACTTGGACGTGGCAACATCAACTTGCTGACCCTTGGTAACAGTGACAAGCGAAAAGGCTCTCTCAATTGGGGCTCTGACAAGCTTCGCGGCGTCAACATTGGTGGTTGGCTAGTCCTGGAACCGTAAGTTTGTCCAAACCCACTTCAAACTTTATTCGCCTGCCGGTCGAATCTGAGCTTGAAACTAAATGCCTCGACCAGATGGATCACGCCCTCGATTTTCGAGCAGTTCGATGCGTCCCAGGGCATCGTCGATGAGTTCACACTAAGTGAGAAGCTCGGGGCGGACAAGGCCCTGGAGATCCTAAAGCCGCACTGGGACAGCTGGGTCGGCTACGACGACTTCAAGCGCATTGCCGACGCCGGCATGAACGTCGTCAGGATCCCCATTGGCTTCTGGGCATACGACACTCTCGGTTCCTCTTACGCCAAGGGGGCCGCCCCCTACATCGACGCCGCCCTTGACTGGGCCCGGGGCACGGGTCTCATGGTCATAATCGACCTGCACGGCGCGCCAGGCTCGCAGAATGGTTACGACAACTCCGGGCAGCGAATGGACTATCCTCAATGGACCCAGGGCGATACTGTGGACCAGACGCTCTCGGTGCTCAACACCATCGCAGAGAAGTACGGGCAGGCAGAGTACGACGACGTGGTGGCGGGCATCCAGCTGCTGAACGAGCCGGCAGGCTACACGCTGGACCTCAACACCATCAAGCAATTCACCCGCGACGGCTACGGCAAGGTCCGTGCCGTGGGCGAGACGACGGTTGTCGTTCATGATGCCTTCCAAAGCCCGGCTTCGTACAATGGCTTCATGACGGCATCGGATAATGACGTGCGCAATGTCGCGCTCGACCACCACGAGTACCAGGTCTTCGACAACGGTATGCTCGCGTGGAGTGCCCAGGAGCATCGGCAGGGCGTGTGCAACAACAAGGCTCGCTGGGAAGGCGCGGACAAATGGACGTTTGTAGGCGAGTGGACGGGCGCCATGACCGACTGCGCCAAGTGGCTGAACGGTATGTCCTATGTTTCCAATTATTGAGTTGAGCTGAACACAGCACTAACATTTTCACTTTAGGCTATGGCATCGGCGCCCGCTACGATGGCTCGTACGAGGGTGCTAGCTACATCGGTGACTGCGGCTTCGCCAGTGACATCAGTTCGTGGGACCAGCAGCGCAAGGATGACACACGCTGGTACATCGAGACACAGATGTCGGCCTTCGAAAAGGTCGACGGCTGGGTCTTCTGGAACTTCAAGACCGAGGCAGCGCCCGAGTGGGACTTGTTGCGTCTGCTTGACGCCGGCGTGTTCCCGAATCCGGTCACGGATAGGAAGTTCTCCGGCATCTGCTGAGACTAGCTGGAAATTTTCACTAATGATGGCGCTCTCATAAAAAAAAAACGGCAAACCTAACTGCCGTTTGATCCGGCCTTACCTATTAATGGTAAAAATGCCTAGGCGTATTATTAATGGGGTTTGGAGCATACATAAAGCTCGCCCTGTAGTACACACTCTCTCAGGCCGACGATTCGTATAACGACATCAATACCCAAGAAACATGTTCATGACCCCCTTTCGATTTGTCTCTAAATGCATGCATCTATACAACGTGACTATTAACCCTTCGGCATCTTGAAGTCCGGCACTCACACAGCAATCTCAGTCCGTCATTTCTTCAGGCTATCCGCATACGCCTTGACCGTCTCGATCAACGTCCCATCCTCCTCCAGCCCCAGGCCCAGAGCGCGCTCGATGTCAAAGCGCTCCGGCCAGCTCAGCACAATCTTCTCGATGACGGGATCGACCTTCTCCTCGACCAGCGCCCGCGCGTCCCGGCCGCCGACCTGCTCCAGCGCGTCCAGCACGTCGGCGATGCGCACGGTGACGCCGGGCAGGTTCACGGTGCGGGACAAGGGCCCGAAGCGGGCGGCGGCGACGTCCTTGACGGCGACGAGGTTGCGCACGACGGTGCGCGGCGAGCACACCCACATGCGCAGCCGGCGGTCGACGGGCAGCACCGCCCGCGCCCCGTTGAGCGGCTCGCGCACGATGCCCGACGCGAAGCTGGACGCGGCCGCCGTGGGCGCGCCCGGCCGCACCATGACGGTCGGCAGGCGCACCACGCGCGCGTCGAGCAAGCCCCGCCGCGCGTAGTCGTTGAGCAGGCACTCGACGACGAACTTTTGCGTGCCGTAGCTGCTCTGCGGCTGCGGCAGCGTGCGCTCCGAGAAGACGTGGTCGGGCCCGCCCGCGGTCGACGGCGGCCCGTACACGGCGGTGCTGGAGGTGAAGACGACGGTGGCGCCCGGCTGCGTGGCGATGAGGTGGTCGTAGAGGTGCCGGTGGGCGTCGAGGTTGACGCGGTAGCCCAGCGCGAAGTCGGCCTCGGCGCCCGACGACATGATGCCGTGGAGCGTGTAGATGGCCGTCCACTTCTGCGTGTCCAGGAGGGAGCGCGCCGCGGCCGGGTCCGTCAGGTCCGTCTGCGTCGACGTGATGCGCGAGGGATCGGTGGCGCCCGCGGGGGTCTTGGGCGCCGCGACGTCGGTGAGGGTGAGGTGCACGTCGGGCGAGGAGTCGAGGAGCGCTGCGGCCAGCTCCTGGCCGACGAAGCCGGAGGCGCCGGTTATGAGGATGTGCTTGGCCATGGTGTGCGTGTGTGAATGTGTGTATCACGTTCGCCGGGTTGGTTTGGAGGGGTTGGTTTGGAGGTGGTGCAACGCGTTCACTTGAGGCAATTGGATTCAATTCGACTCAAGCTCGCATGCTCTGAAGCAATCCAGTCAAGATTGACTCGAGAGTTGGTCAGTGAGCCGCGAGAGCGTGTGTGTATATAGTTGGTGGTCGTCTCCCCGCGTCGGCGTCTGATGCTGGTGTGGGTGTGCGGGGTATTGTCGGGAAGCCTAGGCAATGACGACGGACGCGTGGGGGCAGCTCATCATTCTCTCTCCACAAAAAAACATCCGCTCGGCACGAAGACGCCGCGAGAAGACCTGGAAGTGAGCCGCGGCCTTCTCGCCGCCCCCGCCTTCGCTCTTCTCTCCGCCCAACTCCCGCTTCCGCTTCCGCCCTCTGCGGAGCTCCACAACCATAGCTCGTTACGGTCGTCGCCCGCAACCCAATCCAATCCCATCACGACGTCTGCGCTGCCATCCACGCAAACCAATTCGCTGATGCTTTACGGAAGCTTTCGCTCAAACGAACGGCTTCATCCCGGCCGACCCGCTCTGCTGATGATAATGATCGGATGAGACCGCGTGCGAGAGCCGCTCAGCCGTCAATATATATGTTGCTACTTCAATCCCATGGTTCCCAGAAGCCTAGGTACCTGAACCTGCCCAACCAGCTGTTGCGGATCCCTTGATTCTCTTCCAGACAGCTACGAGCGTCATCAATAACCTTCTCCCACTTCATCTTCGTTCCTCCTCCTCTTCAAAAAGGAAAAAAAAAAACACACACAATCATCAACCACATCCTCTCTGATCCCCCACCATGGCCTCCCCTCCCCAGTCCCTCCCGCTCCAATCGACCCTCTCCTCCCTCCCGCCCGTCCACCCGGGCGACCTCCGCGCCCAGACCCGCGCCCTCCTCTCCTCGACCGCGTCGACGATCCCGCTCCTCGTCGCCCTCGACGACGACCCCACCGGCACGCAGACCTGCCACGACATCCGCGTCCTCACCGTGTGGGACGTCGAGTCGCTGGCGGCCGAGTTCGCGCGCACGCCGCCCGGCTCCGGCTTCTTCATCCTGACCAACTCGCGCGCGCTGCACACGGCCGACGCGCGCGCCCTCGTCGCCGAGATCTGCCGGAACCTGCGCCGGGCCGCCGCGCAGGCGGGTGGTGGCGGCGGCGACGTGCCGTTCGAGGTCGTGCTGCGTGGGGACAGCACGCTGCGTGGGCATTTTCCCGACGAGCCCGAGGTCGTGGATGAGGAGGTCGGCGGCGGCGGCAGCGACGCGTGGGTGCTGGCGCCGTTCTTCTTGCAGGGCGGCAGGTATACCATCGACGATGTACATTACGTCGCCGAGGGGGACACGCTGGTGCCGGCGGGGGAGACGCCGTTCGCGAGGGATGCGACGTTTGGGTACCGGAGCAGCGATTTGCGCGACTGGGTGGTGGAGAAGAGCGCGGGCAAGATCGCGCGGGAGAGGGTGGTGAGTTTGGGCTTGGGGGACATTCGGCAGGGCGGCCCGGAGAGGATTGCGCAGCTGGTGGAGGGGTTTGAGAAGGGCAGTGTGATTGTGGTGAATGCGGCGGCGGAGGAGGATATGGATGTTGTGGTGTTGGGGTTGCTGAAGGGTAAGGACGTGTTGTAGTTGTTCTTGTTGTTTTTTTCTTTCTTTCCCTCTCCCAGAGTGAGGGTTTGAACTAGGCTGACGCTCCCATTGTTCAGCTTCGTCCAAGGGCAAGCGCTTTCTCTTCCGCACCGCGGCCGCTTTCGTTTCGGCACGTCTGGGGATCCCCCCTATTCCTTCCATCTCGGCGCAGCAGTTGCAGCTCTCTCACGAGGCTGGTGGGTTGATCATCGCCGGATCCTATGTCCCGAAGACGACGGCGCAGCTCGAGGTCTTGACATCCAAGAGCGGCGACAAGCTGACTACGGTGGTCCTGGACGTGGAGAAGCTCCTGGCTTCGCCTGAGAGCTCGGCTGAGACCATCGCACATGCCATCACCGTCGCTGAGAGAGAGATCGCGCGGAGACAGGACGTGCTCGTCATGACTAGCCGCAAACTGGTGGTTGGCGAGGACGCAAAGAAGAGCCTGGATATCGGCTCCATCGTCGCGGATGCGCTGGTCAAGTTCTTGCAACAGCTGAAGATCAAGCCGCGATACGTGATCGCCAAGGTGAGTAGTAGACGAACGGCGCGGCCGGGAGGCATGAACGCATAAGCTGACTCGTCTGTTAATGCAGGGCGGCATCACATCATCGGACATGGCCACGAAGGGCTTGAACATGAAGAAGGCGATGATTGTGGGCCAGGCGGCAGCTGGTATCCCACTGTGGCGCTGCGACGAGGAGACGTGCAAGTATCCGGGGCTGCCGTACGTTGTGTTCCCCGGCAATGTCGGTGGCAACGACACGCTCTACGAAGTGGTCAACGGTTGGCGGGTATGATAACCGAAGTAGAAGGTGGGATACTACTTAGACTATTTACGAATCCTGTTTGTTTTCCGGGATGCTTGAGCTTGCTTATGCTTGTTCCTCCTAACCCTGTACCCTCTCAGTGCTTCAACGAGGCAGTCACGTTTGCGGCAGCACCATGGACTTTTTGACATATTTCCTGTTACCAAACCACCGTAGCATCCGACTTGCTGAGCGGCTCCGAACATGATGATCCCACTGAGCGCGTTGACCACGGAATCAACAAAACCAAACGAATTTTACTACCGACATGTCGGGCAAAGCACTGCCCCTGGCGGATTGTATGCAGGGGACCATGGAACCGGTCCAGTCTGCCGGCAGACAAATCAACTGCCGAACCTGGTTCCTGGTGACGAGGTTCCCCGCCTGCCGATAAGATAGCCCGCGGAAAATGCGGAGAGAGCTCGACCACTCAAGCCTTTTCTGCACTCACCAACCACTCGCTAACATCAGAGTCTCACGCTGCATTGACCCGGCAATGCCCGTTGACTCGAGCATCGCCTCGCTGCAGCACGAGATCGCATCGTGCGAGCGCCAGCTGCAGCGCCTCAAGCAGCAGCTCGCCGACGCCGAGGGAGCCCGTTCCCGAAACCGACCGTATTCCCCGACCGCCGCTTCCCACGCATACACCCCCTCGGGCTCCGCTGCCTCGCTTCCGGCCGATGCCTTTCACGGCGACGTGCATCACAACAGGCAATTCCTGGGCGCCGCGCTGGGCGGCGGGCTGCCGGACGAGTGGCAGGCCGAGCTGTGGGCGGTGCTGGAGCAGCCCGCCCACGACGACCGTGGGTCACGGCCGTGGCCGCTGGAGACGCACGAGTACACGCGATATGGACGCCAGCTGATCATGCCCGAGGTGGGGTTGCAAGGTACGGGGCGGGCATTTTCATGCGCACACACTGCTTGGGGCTTTGAGGGCTGACGACCGAGGACCTGCTTCCTGTTTCGGGCGTGTAGGACAGCTGCGACTACGGAGCTCTGCCGTCCTCATAGTCGGCGCCGGCGGCCTGGGCTGCCCGGCTGCGGCGTACATCGCCGGCGCCGGGGTGGGCACGCTCGGCTTGGTCGACGCCGACACGGTCGAGGAATCGAATCTCCATCGCCAGATCCTGCACAGCACGAGCAAGGTCGGGATGCCCAAGGTCGAAAGCGCGCTGCGGAATCTGAGGTGGTCAGTACCAGCTCGAGCATCTGGGGCGGCGGGCACTCAGCTAACAAGACGTCGACCAGCTTGAATCCAAACATCAAGTACTATTCCTACAACACTAGATTGACGCCCGAGAACGCTCTGGACATCTTCTCCGAGTACGACCTTGTCCTTGACTGCACAGACACGCCCGCCTCACGTTATCTCATCTCGGATACATGCGTTCTCTTGGGCAAGCCACTTGTGTCTGCGTCAGCACTGCAGACAGAAGGCCAGCTGATGGTGCTGAACAACCCGCCACGGCCACCAGGAGACCCGGATGGAGGGCCTTGTTACCGATGCGTCTTTCCAAAGCCGCCGCCTGCTGATAGCGTCATCAGTTGTGGGGAAGGTGGTATCCTTGGCCCAGTGGTCGGCGTCATGGGAGTCCTCCAGGCCTTGGAGGCGATCAAGCTGATTGCCGCGGGGATCGAGAAGCCTCCATCGCCATCGTCAGACGAGATGGATGTAGACGGCACCTCTGCGGCTTCTGATAAGCACCATGATGCGGCGGCGGCAGCAGGCAGCAAGCCTGCAGGCAACAAGCCCTCACTGTTACTCTTCTCCGCATACAGCAGCCCGCAGTTCCGCTCCTTCGGGTTACGCACCAGAAAAGCCAAGTGTGCCGCATGCTCTGCGCAGGTGACAGTGACGCGCGAGGCCCTGACGTCTGGTTCGATGGACTACGTGCAGTTCTGCGGCGCTGTCAGCCCCATCAATGCGCTCGCCCCCGAGGAGCGCATCTCGGCACTCGAGTACGAACAGACACGCAACGGATTGTCGACGGCAGTCGAGGAAAGCAGTCTCAGCTCCTTCTCGGGTGGGATGCCCAAGAACCAAAAGCACATCCTGGTAGACGTGCGGGAGAAGGTTCAGTTCGAGCTGGCGCATCTAGATGGCAGCATCAACATTCCCTTCTCTGATATCGTCGCCACGCCCATTCCGCCACCATCATCTTTGTCGCCGCCCGCGTCAGCCGCCAGCGCGCCTGCAACGCCTGCTACCGACGGTGCGGACTCACCGGCCTCTCCGAAGCAGGCAGCAGGAGGAGGCAGTGTCGATGACCAGTCGCAGTCGCAGCCGCTGCCGGCATGGCTCACCCAATTACGCCAGCTACCGTCCGAGCAGCCTATCGTAGTAACATGCCGGCTCGGTAACGATTCGCAGCTCGCGGTGCGCAAGATGAAGGCGCTGGGCTTGGACGAGGACGGGACGAGGAAGATTGTTGACGTAAGGGGAGGACTGAGGTCTTGGAGGGAGGACGTGGATGCGGACTTCCCGAATTACTGAGGTGATTTACGAGAGCGTCGCTTCTTGTTTTCTGATATCCTGTATCATGGTGCCAAGGCGTTGTTGGATCCAATGTAAGGTTGACACGATTTTTGCAATAATGAATATTTGCAAACCAGTTGAAGCAAGACATCTCGACGGCTTCCTTCTTCCGTTACCAGGCGTCGCAAAGAACTGATATTGATAACTGTTGACCAAGACTCATTGCCGCCCTCCTCCTGTCAACTTGCACGACCCGCTTTGTATGTATGTATGTACCTTCCAGCTGCGTCAAAGATCAGACGCTCATGTATCCCACCCATCAAGGCAGCAACCCATCTACCAACCATTCCATCTCCTAGAGACAAGATTCGAGGCTCCGCGTTCCTAGACCCTCATGTGTACTCTATTCGCCTGCATTGCTTAAGCTTACCTTTCCACTAGTTCTCGTAGCCCTTTTTGCCACCGTTACCCATCCAACGTAGTCAAGTCGCCCCCGTGCTTTCCACCGCCACCACCTGTCTCGTTGTGCTGACGACTTTGGCTTGCCAGTGAGTTCGTAAGCGCCTTCGTCCCTTCTTCAGGAGTGCTGTCGTGTTCTGCGGCGATCGAGGTACCCGCTTCCCGGCTTCCCCGGCGCGGACCGCCTCGGAACGCAAGCAGAGTGGGAACCGTTTGCCACCAGGGGGGACGGAGATGGTGGCTGGGCTGGCGTCGTCGATCGACTTTCGCCACTTCCCATCGACTGCGGTGGCTGGTGACACGTCCCCGGCCGGCCGAGGCCGCCAGCATCGGTTATCCCAGCACCGCCATCGGTCCGCGATTGCAGCTCTGTCGGTCTCTCAGCCGCATGCGTGGAAGATGCGCGCACTCTGGTCGCGTGGCCATGGATGTGTGCGTGCGTGAAGGGATGATGGGGGTGAAGAAGAAGCGCCGAATGCGAACGCGGCATGACACGCCTAGCACCATTTGTCTTCCAATAATGACGTCTCCGCCCGGCCCAACATCTCTCGCCATGTGGCCGATCCCGTGCTTCCCCGAGCCAGTTGGAAGAGGCGGCGGCGACGACGACGAAGAAGGGAGGCCGTGAAAGAGGGTCCGATCACAATCTCGTCGGTGTTCCAGAAGAACGGGAGGAATAAAAAGGAAACAAGGGTGTGTGGAGAGCGACAATGCAGGGCCACCGCGCTAAAATGCTGTCGCCCCCCCCCCCAAGAAAAACAAAAAAAAAAAGGGAAAAAGGTACCACGCCCATTTTCGTTGCCATTATTCTCTCGCGTGGACGCTCGGACGGTGATGGGCGCCTTGCCGAAGACTGTCAAACGCCACTATCACCGCCGGCACTCTGGATTTGTCTTCCGTCACATCGCCAGTCCATGTTTCACCACCGTTGTTCCCCGTTCCCCCTTCTGCGATAGATGGCGCCCTTCGCCTCCTGCCACGACAAGGATGCGTGACGGACGACGATCAGGATTCGATCTCCTTCCGACCTAAGCTCTTCTCGAATATAGTCGTTCCGCGGGCTGTGAGCTGGGCTTCTTCAGCAGCAGATGGCAGTTAGCCTCGGGGTACTCCCGCATCGTGCATGACGCCGTCGGCCGGTCGGTCCCTTTATTCCCATTTTTTATTTTCTGGCCAGCGGTGGCACGGACCGAAACGAAAAAGGTACCAGCACGTCCACCCACACCCATCACGCCCACACGAGATATGCAATTAATGAAAGGGAGGGGACGTGCGGACGCGGCCGGAAAAGTAGTCTTGATTGTTGGCGTGTTACTTCCGTGGTGGCGACGACTTCGGGGAGCCTTGAGATTTGGATGTTACGGTTAAGTGAGGCGACGACGAGCTGCGTGGGCCTTTCTGCCAGACTGCTCGTCACTGGAATCGAATAAAAGAAAGAAAGAAAAACAAGAGCCCGTTTCGCGCATGTAGAGCGATGATGTGCTTGTCAACCACCGCCGTCGCACACTGTGGAGGAGGGAGAGCAGAAGGAAGATGGGAGCCCAAAGGAGCGGATCGATACCCGAACTTAGTCAAGCCACAGACGCCGCCCAGACGGCACGGCCAAAGTTCGTTCCAACTCACTGCTGTTTCGACCAAAGAGAAGAGCCGGGAGGCCGCTGGGATGAAGCAATCCCCAAAGCCCGACCGACCAGGATGGCGATTTCGGACGAGCACCTGCAGCGGTTCGTTGCGAGTAATGGCCTGCCTGCCTGCCTGCCTGCCTGCCTTGCTTGCCTTTCCGTCCACATGGATGCAAGTCCGCCGGAAGCCCGGCCGAAGCTCCCGCGGCAAAAGGAATGAAAAAGCACCGCCTGCAGGAGAAAGGATCGAAGGAAGTGGTGGCCGCCACTCTTTCCCGTCTCGCCTAGGTAACCCTCGGCCGCGCAGCTTCCCCCTCTGGTACGCTAGGGTCGGGCAACGGCTGGCTGGCTGGCTGGCTGTCTGCTCTGCTTGCTTTGGCTTTGGGACACGGCAGGGATTAACATCCCGCCCCCCCCGAGTATGAGTCACACACAGTATTTGACTTTCTTGCGTTCTCGTGACGACGATGCTGTCCCGTCTGCGTGTACAAACGGCTGCCTGCTTGCTTTGCTGGCGATTGAACGAAACAAGTCGACGTAGCGACGCGGCTTCGTATCGGTGGGCCGCGCGGCGGTCGAACATCCCCGGAGGATGAGCATGGGAAAGTGCATGGCAAAAAAAAAAAAAAAGGAAACCAAAAAAAAACGCACAGTCACCTCGACGCTCCGAGGGTTGGGCAATGTCATGAGGATGAGGGATTTGCAAGCCACACCCCGGACCTTGGCCCCTCCCAGTCGCGCATTCGCTGCGACTGTGCTCGCTGGGCCGTGTCACAGTGTGGGTGCGGGACCGGATCAACATCATGGCTGTGCTCTTGGGGGCAAATCAGGGCGGCTAAGCCGTTGGGGCTGAAGCTGCGAGGATGCTCTTGCGGAAAACCTTCTTGCCGAAACGGTTGGGTTGCATTGAGCCTTGGCCGTGCTTCCTGTCCCTGTTGCTGCCGCCGTCGTTTGCCTCCGCCGCGCCGTGGCTGTGGTTGATTGACTGCACTTCCATGTCGGCGCTTTTCCCTCGGGCGAGGCGGACAAGTGGGAAGTGGAAGGCTCCAGTCGCATTCATACATCGCAGTCACTGATACCATGAAGAATCGGGTTTTATGAGTGAAGTCATTGAAATTTCAGAAGCCATTAACGTCGCCAAAACAAATGAAAATCATAACCATCGTCCAAAAGCAGCCAGTGCTTGGAAAAAGCCATCCGCAAAACCCGAGCAAAGAACCCAATCTGTTTCCGTCCCATTCCCATCCCTTCCTGTAGGGAGAAGATGCCCGCCGATGTCCTGTTTTCTTTCCCAACCACCCAAAGAAGAAGAACAGTCCCGAGAGAAATCAAACACGCGCCATGCAGGTATATTTCTCGATGCAGGAAGAGGGTATGACAAGACAGAACGCAAGACGAAAACAATGGACCGAACCCGAGCCGTTTTTGCATAACCAGAACCAAAAACATGAGATGACCTCCAAACAATTGTTGTAAAGCAATCAGCAGCTCTTGACCCACCGCAGCTCCGTGGAGCGGCAATGGGCAGACGGGGTATAACAATTTTATCCGCGGGAGAAAGGTATCGTGCGAGAAACAAAACGCAAAGCCAACAGCAGAAGACAAACCAGAAAAGATATAATAGTACAGGGGTTTTAAGGTTTTGGGGTATCGCTGGTATCGCGCAAAGAACCCAGAAACGACGACGCCTGTGCTGGAAAGACAACTCGAAGCAGATAACCATGTGCGCAAAGTTGGTATACAAGAAGCGAAGGTAGCATGACTGAGGAAAGATCGTGATTAAATCCGATAGGTTTTTCGAGGGAAGAGGGTAGACGAGACGAAGAGCAAGCGAGCCGAGAAACCAGACGACGGTTGAGTTGAGTGTGGCGGAGCAGGGAGGCTTAGTGACGGCCCTTCATGCCCTGGACGTCGTCCATGTGGTTGCACATGGCCACGAACAGGTCGAAGAAGAGCTTGCCACCGTGCTCCATCTCGTTCTGCATGGTGCCGCTGCGCTTGAACGTGTGGCGCGAGCGGATGATGAGAGCGAGGTAGTGGGCACGGAGCTTGCTGTCGCTGTCAGGCGTGTTGGCGTAGGCGTAGCGAGCCGAGGCCAGGATGGTGCTGCACTGGATGCCCGACTGCAGGCCCTGCTTGCGAAGGGCAAGGCGCTTGAGCTCGTCCAGGCCGTACTTCTCGGCAGTGCAGTAGAGCACCGTGTCCTTGAGGATCATGCCCATGCCGTTGACGTAGACGGTCGTCTCGCCGCCGCTGGAGGCCTCGAGGCGCCAGCTGTTCCTCTTCTTGTCGTGCTCCAGACGGGGGTAGTAGTCGCCCTTGTACAGGTACTCCAGCACGGACGAGAAGACCTCGGGCTCCTCGTCGGGAAGGTCGATGCGCCTGGCGGTGGAGTTGAAGAACTGGCCCTTGCAGACGGCCTGGAAGTAGGGCGAGTGGCACAGGACGTCCTCGTGGGCAGCAAACAGGCGTTGGTCCCGGCCGATGCAGAGGGTGATGATGGCCGAGGTCATGGCACTGGGCGGGGGGTCAGCGGAGATCAGATGCAACGGGTGAGTGCGGATGACTTACGGGCTGGCGGTGCCGCTCGACGGGGTCGACTTGACGTCTTCCATCCGGCGGGCCATGGAGGGAGTGTGGCTGACGGACATCTTCCTCTTGCTGGTGGACTCCTTGCCGACACGGCCCTGAGACACGCTCGCGGTGCGTCGTCTGGAGGAGAACATGGTGTCGTCTGGTGTGTGGGTCGTCGGGCTTCTCGAAGGTCTCAGTCGTGGGTCCGCAGAGGTGGAAGCGGACTAGAGACGGGTGGGCCAGGCGCCTTTATAGATGCAGCGACAGGCAGCACTGGGCAGCTACAGGGCTGACGGCGATCGGTGGACCTAGGCAGCACCTCGGCGAGGTGGAAAGGGGAGGTGTTCCGGAAGGAAGGCTTCAGGCGCGGCCTCAGCACGGGCGTATACAACTATATGGCCCGTGGCAAGCGGCGCACTGACGCGTGGGGGACGTGATTGGACGCGTCGCACGGACGAGACACGGGAACGCGATATCAGGTGCCTTGAGGCTGACTCAAGATTATGCGACTCGGCTCGGCTAAGCACCCTGCAAGCGCGGAGCGGAAATGGAGGGACAAGGGTTGCGCAGGGGGTGGTGCTGTGGCTGTGGCTTTGATGCTGCTGCTCTGACGCTGCTGGGCTGGGGGGGTCGGTGGCTAGCTAGTTTCACGGCGGCTGCAGCTTGCACGAAAGGGGATCTGGTTCTGCAGGTCGACGTTGGGCGCAGCACCGCATTAAATGGGCGGCCGGCCGCTGAGCAGCGCTCACCGCTGCCGCAAATCCAGCGCGAAACGCAGCACGATAGGGACTGACACGGAGATGATGGCCGCCAAAATTTTTCACGCATGCTGGTGATGCGCAGAGGACAGCGCATCGCCTGCTCCTAGCGGGTCCCTAGGCGCTGGGTCGCCGCGGATTATTCCCTGCTCGTTCGTGCTCGGAGCGGCGGGAGGAGCGGCGCTAGGCCCAGCCTGGCGCAGCCGGACGCCCCCCACAAGTGCGCGCCAAGGCGATCGCTTGTCACCCCCGTCCAGTTTCACCGTCTCTTGTCGCCCGCCCGTCCCTGTCCAATTGCGCGCCCAACCCGCTCACCGCACGCCCGTCCACCACCATGCGGTCCGACAGCGAGCAGGCTCTGCCGCTTCTGCGACACAAATACGCGTACGCGCGCCGCGGGAACGAGGCAGAGCTCCGCAGTCCGCTGGCCTCGGCGCGTCGCCCGCCGTTGCGCACACGCGCCGCCGCCTCAGACCTGCCGGCTGGAGCACACCGGTACGAGGCATACAAGACCGTTGAACGCCTCCCTCCGCCCCGGCCCCTTTTGCCTTGTTTCTGCTGCTTGCCAACCTCGTCTGCCAGGGTGCCTCCGGGATCCGCGACGCTCAATCCAGCAGCGTCGCCCGCCCTCCCAGCCTCGCAATGCTCCAAGCTGCCCCGGTCCTGTGGCCGCCGCGCACGGAGGTGCGCCTCACCGCCCGCTAGCAGTGTCTCGCGTCTCTGGCAAGCGAGCGAGCGAGCGAGCGCACCGCCATCCTTCGCGAACGAGTCACAGTCTGAGCGCGGTGATCTCGCACATCGTGGGTCTTTGGAGGATCACGATGTCGACAGCGCGACAAAGCGCCTCGCCAGGCCCACCCTGCGGCCGACCGCTCCTTCGGATCCCACGCATGACGGCCAACAGCCTGTGCGCGTCGCTCAACGGTCGAAAACAAAAAACTACGTGTCCAACAAGCCGCCGCATCGCTCTCACCGCCGCATCATCAAAATTCATGCGCGTCCCGTGCCGCTTCAGCAGCCAACCCTTCGTCTCTAAACAAGGTCTCCAACATGCCTGGCGAGCTTCGCATCAGGCCTTCCAGAAGTTTTGCGTCTTTGATGAAACCGACGCCGCGCGGGATCCGGAATCTACGCTTTGACCGCATCTTCGAAGGCGAGAGTTCGGAGTTGGGATGACCTAAGAGATTTTGGACTTTCGGAGCTGGCTCCCCTGCCGCCAGAGAGGGTGAGGAAAGACCGTCTTGTCTCACCTCGACTCATGTCGTTAGACCCATCCTTGACGGTTTAGCTTCCGTCTCTTCTGAGTTCTCTGGCTCTATCTCAGTTGTCTATCAACGGGGGGCTCCACAGAACTGGTCACCTGGTGCTGTACGAGCACTCGCCTACATCTTCGCCGAAATTTCCCAACCTTCCCGGCCACCAGCCCGGCCTCCCCTTGCTCCCACGCCGCCGGAGTGGACCGGGCCTGGAAACCGGAACGCACAGGCTCCAGGCCTGTGCGTTCAGACGGACTTAAGCCCTCCATCCGGATGGATAGCGTTTAATGTGCTACCATTCCCATCCTCGTCGCCTGTCCCGAAGGCGGCAGGACCCTTCATCTGTATCTGAGTGTCGCATATCAGATTGCGCCTCGCCTCGCATGGTCCCACAGAGATGGTCCCCGTTCGCCTCATTGCGCCGGACGCACTATGGATTTGACTTCTTCGATATTCGCTGTCGGCCGTTAACTCGCAAGCCTTAGGAACCGCAAACCTTCCCTCACTCTTTCATTTAGGCCCCATCACCTCAACACTGATGCTCTACTTGTGACGCCAACATACCGGTTGGAAGTCCTTTCGTCGCCCTCACAGTGGCGTGACTGTAAGTGAAACGGGAAACTGTTGAATGTTCACTTCATTCGTGGACGTCGCTCGGTTCGAGATGCATCCCATCAGGCCCCGGGTGGGTATTGCGGCGACGCTGAGGCCTTTCTGCATGGTGGCGTCAAGTGCCTTTTCCGGGCCGCGTCTAATGTTTTCGTTGAATCTGGAACCGAGCCGCGATATCAACCTGCCTCGGGGCCGAACGGAGTGAATGCTCATCCCCCGATCCGTCCGCTCGGAATCTCACTTGCACCTTTCACTTCAACTGTTCTACACAGGAAGAGTATCCAGCCACAGACCGCATACCCTGCCTCAATCCGTACAACTCATTGAACATCTCTGTCGTTTTTCTCACGCATTCACCGTCAGCATAACAAACATGCAGGCCATCAAGCTCTCAAGTCAACCACCACTACGGCCACATGGCCCGAGCTTCTCCCGCGCGATCAAGAACGCCTCGCCAATCCCCACCGGTGTGCCTCGAACACTCACTACTGATGCTTAGCGCCCGTCCACAATCATCAGGCGTTCCCTTTCCCATCCCTCCATCTGACGTGGTGGTTCACCGATTCTCCGATCACTGACTGGTGATGACCCCGTGACGGACTAGAGGGATTGCACACTAGTAATCTAACCGCCAGCCGGTGAAGCAACATTTCCCAATGACTAGCGACAACGACGCGAACAACAAACAGATGGCAACACTAACAAAAGATGCACAGTCCCTCGAGGCATGTCAGCAAACAGAGTCCTTCCGCCATGGTGGCGTCGTTCGATCGTCCGCAAATGGTGCGTGACGCGCGTGATCAAATGCGCCTCCCTCAGCTAGGTAGTTTTCCCAACCGCACCAGCCTGCCGGTCGGATGTGCGGTGAGTGGAGATGATTCCCGACTTGATTGGCGTGCATGAGTGCGTCGGTCGTCAAAGCGCGAGAGCGCGCGCGCACAGGACAAAAGAATGGGTGTGTGCAATTGTGCGTTGTTGGTCGAAGCGTCGCTGCACAATTTATCTCCACCCGTAAGGCTGAAGTGGTGGAAATTTGTTTGGTGGGAAAATCGGTTGCGATTAAGCGAGCGAGCGAGACGGAAGTACAACCACAACAACAATCAACCACCAGCTGTCAACAATAATGGGGCATCCGTTGGCGCCGCGTGCATCGCTGATCGTTAGTCATCGGGGAGGGAACCAACCACCTTTCGTAGTATGCATGCACAGTGTTGTTCTTGGGATCAACTTGCCACTGATGGACATGTTCCTGACGGCTTTGCCACTGAAGCGGTCTAGGTTGTAGTGTTGTGCGCGGGGTAAACAATGGAGAGCTTATCTGTAGAACATTCAGAGCAAGATTCAGTGGAAGTCGCCTTGACAATTGATGTGATCGTGAGGTGAAGAATATGTGGAAGGCTGGGTTCTTCATCGAGCATGAACTCTGGGCGAATTTTGACATGGTGCACTTGTGGATCTATCCTTTGGCATTTTGCACGCAGCACATAGGACACACAATCAAGAGAATCATGAATAGTGCGGCTGATTCTGTTGCTACGTGAACCTGAATGGTTGGAAAACCCCGTTAAGAGCCAATGAACAGCCCAGTCATACTGCATCTTCCCCATGATGCCTTGGTGGGCTATGCAATTGAAACCCCAAACTCCATCACTTGGCAAATTCTCAATCTCAAAAGCCACAACTAGCGGAGACACATGAAGCCCTACTTTAAAGAAAAGTGTCGCCATAGTCACTATCCTTTCGATAAGTCCTCCCGGGCGCTAGACAGACTCGCCACACTTCGATATTGTGGAGGGACGGGGCGGAGGTTCGACCTTCTTTCCGGCCCACTTCGTCAAACCAAGGCTGTTGGTGTTCTCCACTTCGGCTTCTCTCTTCCGCAGCTGGTCTCCCTCAAGGCTGGGCTGGGCGCGAGAACAAGAGGTCCACCAATGGCTTTCCAACCCATTTTGCGCACCACGTCGACAACGGTAGATCCTCTTTGCCGGCATGAGCCCGAGAGAAAAGTGCGGAGGCATATGTTACACGCGTCAATCTTGCTGACAACCAGGCTCAGAAGCTTGTCGTCGCTACGATCGATTTCAGTCATATACCTAGGGTGGGTTATCGATGTTCGCTTACTCGCAGTCCTTCACGAATTGGCAGAGTTCGAGCTGTTTGTCCAATTTACAGGCTTGCGTGGCGGGATCCATGAGCTTTATATCGTGAACCGTAGGACTGTAGCTTCCAGTGTACGCGTGCTCGATGGTTATGGCAAGCGTGTCGGTGGTACAATGCATTCCAAGGCTACGCATACCAGTCAGTAGGAAAACTAGCTTACTGGATGCTGCTCCGCGTAGCTTAATAGTCAGGGTCCGAGGAAGGCTTCTCTTGAGTTGACGCCATGATGGTTGATTTGGTGAAGGACGAGGTAAGGGTGCCTTGACGCCTGTGATGTAGTTGGGGTGTGTGAGAAGGCAAGGTAGTGGGAGTGACAGGACGAGGACGTCAGAAGAAATATCAGCAAGGGCAGAGTCGCGTTTCGCCGAGGAAACAGCACTCGCGTGCGTCGCCCAGTTGTTCCACCTCACATTAGGGATGTCAGCGATGAAAGTCAAAACAAAAGAACTCTCTGAGAAAGCAGTAGAGGAATGCCTGTTCAACTTATGCATCTGATTCACTACTCTCAATGCTGTCTGCAGAAAAAAAAAAAATCAGGCCTCGAAGCACCTGGACGCCGACCTGCGTCTGCGCCCATCAGACTAGCACGATTAACCAATTGCTGGTATACCAACTCCCTCAAGCACTCTGGTATCAGCCGACACTCCCACCGGAAGCGCACCAAAAACTTCTTTTTATCCAATTAGTCCCGCTCTCAATTCTCCTCCGCCCAAGCGCGTGCCAACTCCTGCGCAGCCTTTGCTCTGAGGAAATCGCACACATCCTTGCCCTTCGCCCCATGGGACAGGCCTCTCCGCCAGTCCCAGCCTCTCTTTGCATCTTTGCTGAGAGTGCCGCTTTCACCATCCACGAGGACGCCGCTACCCTCTGTTGACTGGAACACAGAGCTGCCCATCAAGCTGTACGAGCTGGCTGTCAGGTTGGAAACCGACTTCTTGAGCGATCGTGGCGGTTCCATGTTGGATGAGCCTGTGCCGTGGGCATGTGCTAATGCTGCCTGAAGATGCTCCTCGCACTGAGCGTAGACCAGCGAGGGAGCAGTTTGGAGGTCCTCGGCCGCACGCATAAGTGTGGAGAGATCGGATGACGATAGAAGACGCTTAGGATCTGCGAGGTTGTTAGTAGCTGTTGTTTCCCGGTTGGCGTCGTGTAACTTACGAGTCATGAAAGGCAGCGACTCGCCGAGCAGAGTCAGAAGTCCATCAACCTGGACGGCCGAATCAATGTCCGGATCGTAAAGCCCGCCACGAATGCTGTCAGCGGCGCTGCCGACAACAGCAATTAAAGCCTGGGCAGCGAGTCTTCTCCTCTCGAGGGGACGGTGGGCAGGCTTGCTGCCTTCCGGGAGGTTGACTTCCTCGTCACGCAGATCGTAGAACTTCCGCAGGGTTGCGTAACCGCTGAGGTACATGGATAGCATCTGAGCCGCTTCCAGGTCGGACCGAGCTAGCTGAGACAGAGTCTGCTTAGGAGTATTGATGAGTGCCTTGAGACGTTCGTCGAGATCGGATTGCGCCGGATAGGCGGTGGAATGGATGAGGCAGAGAGAGATGAGCAGATCAAGGACGTCTCTGATCTTCTTGGAATTGTGGGCGCGAGCATAGTAGAACAAGGCCGAGCCGTAGTTGTACGAGTTCTCGGCCAGGGAAGCCGCATAGCGCTCAGCGATCATGTTAGCATGCTCGATGAGTCCGAGACTGTTGCAGACACTGAGGATCTTGTCAACGCGCTCCGCTGAGCTTAACGGGAGTCGATCGAGGAGTTCGCTAATCTTATTTCTCGCGGCTTCAGCGTTGTCGAGACGACCCAAGACTTGGATAGCCAGTTCCCAGCCCTCGGAGTTTTGGATCTTGGGCCTGCTAAACAGAATCTCGGCGTATTGCTGTAGAATCTCATCCTTGTCGTAACCAGGCTTATCGCCTTGTCCGTAACTTAGGACCATGAGATCGCTTTGATCGAATCCTCTCAGGAGGTTCCTTGAGGCAGACTGTCCGAGCCAGCCGCCAGCACTTGCAATCTCAATGATTGCCGCCGTGATGGTCAGAGACCATCCACGCAGGATAGGGATGAGGCCATCCATGTTTTCTTCCATGACGCAGGCAAGAGCAATCTCGACTGGATCGTTGCTGTTGATCGAAAGGCCAGGGTCTTCTTCTGCCATCACCCTGGCGAGCGCGTAGGCAAACCTCTTGCGATAAGCGCGTCCAGGAGTGACGTCCGCGACCCTCGTGTGCTTGGAGCGCTTTGCCGATCGTAGGAGCTGTTCCTCATCCTCTCCATCCCACCAGGCGGTGAGACAGACGGTTGCCTCTAGCCAGTCGAAGGCGGCGCCGAGGATTTCCTCTTCGTTGCCGAGTAGAAGGCTGTAAAGGATCTGCAGGTTCTCGTAGACGGTGTACGGCACTCTGCTCTCAGCCCTGCGACTTGCAGTGCTGAAGTTGTAAGCACCGTCATCCTGGGCGCTCAAGCCGAATTCGTCATCGAGGAAAGCACGTTCACCTTCAGCGAAGAGCTTGAGGTCCTCGAGCGCGTCGTTGACGGTCCTCCTATACAGGCCCCAATCCATGCCTTTCACGTCCCAGTCGTCGTGGGTGTAGGCTGGGCAAATTTGCAGTACATCGATGGCTTGCGCAATCGCCTTCTCTACATTGACGAGCTCAATGTCAGCATAGCCAGGTCGCTCGTATCCGTCTTCCAAGGCAGAGTCGGCGACAGCGAAGTTGCCTTCCCTCAAGAAATGAATCGCATCATTGAAGCTGCCCCTCATGACGCAGGAGAAGATGACGTCCCAGAACCCAGGAGCAGCAGAGTAGCTCCCGGCCATCCGCTGAAGATGCTCGAACTCAGCAGCGCTGGGGTCGTGACGTGCATTCAGCCAATCGACCAGGACCTTGGGAAGAGGTGTCTGCCCGGTCGCATATTGACGTGCAAATGACTGGCTGAAGGCAGAAAGCTGGCCGCGCCTGGACAACGAAAAGTTCTGTTTCTCGGGTTCGAATGCAGGGGGGTGGTGGATGGGCAGAAGCAGGCTGGCGATGAAGTCTGCCTTTGCCAAAGGCGAGTCGTCATCGGCAGGCCCAATGCCATCGGGAACGGGCTTGTGCGGGTGGTGCCAAAGGTTGCACAGATCCTTGACAGCCGCTGACAGAGTCTCCTCGGTTGCGTCGCCTTCACCAAGGGTGTAGAGAACGCGTTCGGTTTCCCGGACGAGCTCATCCGGCTCTTGCAAATGAGTGACGGGACGAGCAGCTGCCGCGGCAGCAAAGCTCTTTGCGATGCTTCCAATATCGTATTGGGCTCCAGATTTGCCTAGTGGCGGAGGGCGCACGGGGCTGCGCATGGTCGAAGCCCTGGACCTATTGGAGGGCGATCCCCTCGCCGAGCCTTTGACGCTGAATTTTTGAGGAGATGCAGGTCTGCTGGACTTGCGCGACGCGGGCTTGGTCCCAAAGTTGTCGATCATAGTGTCGTCCTCATCTTCCTGGGCTTCCTGGTCCTCATCCATCTCCTCCGCCTCGGGCAAACCATAGCCTTGTTTGTAGTCGTCGTCCATGCGCTCCTCCTCGTTTTCGTCGTAGTAGCGGTGGTCGCGGTAGTGGTCCTGGTCGAAATAGCCGCGGTCGTCGTAGAAAGGATCGGTGCCGGGAGGAGGGCTGCTCGCGAGGGCGTCCGAGGGCACGTCCGAGGGAGCGTCGGAGTAGTAGCTACGGGCGGACTGCGACCTGGTGGGAATATAGCTCCTCCCGCGTCCTCGGGAGCTGAAGGCGAAAGCAGACATTGTGCGGCCCTTCTGCTGCGAGGGTGAGGGGCTGGGGCGGCCGAAGCGGTAGTTCGGCGACGGGGTGTTGCGGGAGGGCGTGCCGCGTTGCTGGCGTGAGCTGCCGAAGAGCTGGCGTGAAGAGGGTGGGGGCCCGTTCGGGGTGGTGGAGCGGACAGAGCGGTTGGACCACAGCGGACGGCCGGCGGGTGTTGTGGAAGGCAGGGTGCCGGAGGAGAGTCGACGGCCGCCGGCGGGCGTCGAGGGCGTGTAGTGCCAGCCGTCCTCCCTCCAGAAGCCCTCCTCGTCTTTCTTGCGGCCGTACATGCGAGAGATGGCCGAGGGCGCCTCGTACTTGATGCGCACCGGCGACGGGCGGCGGTAGCGATGACGATGGTTCAAGCAGTTGCATCGGCGCTTGGGGTCTTTGTCCAACGGGTCGATGCACGTCTCGTTGGACTTGACGTGGCGGTGCTGGGGCAGTTTCTGGTCATGGTTAAGGCTGCGCACACCAAAAGGGCTTTGGCTTCCAGAGTCCCGCTCCATTGGGCGTGGCTGGGCGTGTTCGCTCCCTCGTGTTGGCGTTGCGACAAAGAGACACGCTCGGCCAGGACGCGACAAGGAACGCGCCGGCCATCACGTGCGGAGCCCTGGCCCCGGCTCGCCTGCCCTGGCGCGACTCGCCCGCCGGCTTTGGCTCTCCAGCGCGCTCGCAGCGCTCCAAACCGTCGCCGTTTGCACGCAGCTGCGCGGCCGGGGCACGCGTCGCGAACGCGACACCGGCGCGACGCCCAATGCTCGGCCGGGTCACTTATTGGCAGGGCCGTCCAAATCACCCCTCGAGCAGCTCCAGGCACGCGAGCTAGTCCCTTTTGGCGCCCGATAATCTGCAACAGCAGCCGTGTAGCACCCAGAGCACCCAGAGCCCCCAGAGCTCCCAGAGCTCCCGCCACTCACGTCCCCGGCCGCCCGCAAAGAACGCGGCCCGACGCGCTTCGAGACGTGACAGCCATTGGCGGCTAGGAAGCCCAGGCTACCGGGCGGGCCTCTCCTGATGCGAGCTCTAGTGCGCAGGCCGGTGTGGACAGTGCTGAAGACATACGCTTGGACCAAACCGGACGAGGCTTGCTGTAGGGGAGCATGTCTTCTTGGTAGATGCATTGCTTTGGTTGCTACCCGTGTCCGTCGGCCTTGGCTGCCATGCTGGTGTGACGGAGGCCGACACCGGCTCGAGAGCAATGGACGGAGCGCAGCTTCACAAGCCGCTCGCGTTCTCGGATGCTCGGAACGGCGGACACAGAGGGACCAGTTTGGGCAACCCAGCGCTGTAAAAGCGGGCTCGAGGGGCCGTAGAGGGAAATGTAGGGTTCTTTTCTCGTAGGGTCTTCCCGGTGTTGAGCGGCGGGGTTATCTGATCGGCTGCATGTCGCGGTCGGCCTGACAAGTCTGCGTCACGTCACGCCGCATCGGACCCTGAGCACATCTGCCTTCATCCAACCACACGCCAGCTCTGCAGCAATCTTTCCCAATTCTCACCACGGCTCGACTGTCCTCCGTCGGCCTTTGACTTCTTCCACGTGCATCTATTGGGCCATTGATCTACCTACCACGGCTGAGCCTGCGAGACGCGGTATAAGATGCCGTCCGTTGTCTGGCTCTGATCCCAGCCAGACCATACCGCTCAGCACCGCTCAGCACCGCCCAGCACCGCCCAGCACCGCTCAACACCGCTCAACGCGACAGCTTCAGACACATCAGCTATGGCGGCGGCCAAGGTCACAGGCTCTTGGAAGCGCCTCTGCGATGTCGAAGCGCTCCGCCGCTCCTCCCAGGTGATTTCCTCTTTTGGCAATCAGCTATTCCTTTTCGGCGGAGAAATCCAGCCCAGATTGCCCGTCGACAACCATGTCCGTCTTGTTCACCTGGACGGCGGCGACGGTGAGCAGACCCGTGCGTCCTATTCCTCAGACCCACAGCACGAGCCAATCGCATTTTGCCCGGCGTACGGAGTAAATTTGGACAAGACTGACCAAGCACGCAGCCGCCGTATCGACCGTGAAGGCCGACCCCAGCCCCGGCTCTCCCTCGCCGCGAGTCGGATCCGCATCGACGCTGCTGGGCAATGTCGTCTACCTTTTCTCCGGGCGCGGCGGCGAGGCCATGGCGCCGATTGAGGAAAGGGGCTCATTGTGGGCATACGATCGCAATACCTCCAAGTGGTCCACGGTTGCTCCGCTCAGCGCAAGCGCCCCCTATCCGCCCGCTCGCAGCTACCACTGCCTAGCCAGTGATGGCAGAAGCAATATTTTCGTCCATGCTGGCTGCCCCGAGAAGGGCCGGCTGGCGGACCTGTGGTCTTTTGATTTAGCCACCAAAGAGTGGGCGGAGCTCGCTTCTGCACCGGGTCCGCCGCGCGGGGGCGCATCCATCGCCTATGCCCAGGGCAGGTTGTACAGAATGAACGGCTTCGATGGCACCAGCGAGCTGGGCGGCAGTCTCGACGTCTACGACCCCGCCGCCAACACCTGGTCGTCGATCAAGTACGCGGCCGACGGGAACGAGGGCCCAAAGGCGCGCAGCGTGAGCGCGCTGCTACACGTCCACGTCATGGGTCGGGCCTCACTGGTGACGCTCTTTGGCGAGCATGACCCCAGCGCACTGGGGCATCAGGGCGCTGGCAGGATGCTGCAGGATGTGTGGGTGTTTGACATCGAATCAGCGCAATGGGCCAAGGCGGTTGGTGGCGCATCCATCTCGGCTTCGTCGGCAAACGAGCTGCCCCCCGCCCGCGGCTGGTTTGCCGCAACCGTGAGGGACGCCGGCCAGCCGGGCGCGATCCTGGTGCACGGCGGACTGGCCGAGACGAACGAGCGGCTGGGCGACGTGTGGCAGCTGGAGCTGGAGCTGGCGGCGTGAGGTGGGACAGCTGGGACAGCCGGGACGGATGCGGATGCGAGGGCCATTCATTGTATTGCGCTCGAGGGCATGGCCCAACGCTGCTCCCGACTCGCTAAGTTTAGTCCCCGCAGTAGCCGCAGGCCGGCAATTGGCCCGTTCCCACCGCTTCAACGTACCCTGATTCGCGCCAAGAGGGCTGAAGCCCGTAAGTAGAAGTTCCAACGCATTGCAAGCGGCGTGATGGATTCATGGCCGCCTGTCCGCAATCCTCCGGATCGTCACCGCGGCTCTGGTCTTAACTTAGACCTCGCCGCTCCTGTTCGCTTCTGATCTCGTCTCCTGCTTCTTTTCCTGCCCCCCGCGCGTTGGTACAAGGTACAATAGCCATCATGTTAGGATCAATACTGCCGCTTTTGCTTTTTCCATTTGCTGTCTCTTCACACGCGAGTCCCGTCCGGGCCGGTATTCATCCAGGCCATGGTGGCGCGCCAGCCCCTGCTATGCCGCCGCCCCTCGAGCCGCCTTCGTACTACTCTTCAGCCCTACCGACCCCGACCAGCATACCGAACCACGACACTTCGCCGCAAAAGCCGCTGAACGGAAACCCAGCAGACCTGGAAGTGCCACAGCACCCCGTCGTGCCATCGCCATCCGCCGCCGCCGGCTTGGCAATCTACTACGGCACAAGCCCCTCATCTCCCGAGGATCCTTCGCTCGTCCACCTGTGCGCCGACGACTCCATCTCGACCATCCTGCTCGGCCACGTTCACGGCTTCAAACCCACCAACGGTTTCCCCATCGTCGACTTCGCCGCCGCCGGCTGCACCACCAAGCACGCCGACGACGACCGGCTCGCGCCCGGGCTGGCATGGTGCCCGGAGCTCGGTCGGCAGGTGCAGACGTGCCAGACGCGTGGCAAGAAGGTCTTCCTCAGCCTCGGCGGCAGTCCTCATGGCAACAGCACCCTCTCCTTCGTTGACGCGGCGGATGCGCGTCGCGCTGCCGTCATGCTGTGGAGCCTCTTCGGGCAGGGGAACCCGCACGGTCCGGACATGCGGCCGCTGGGCGAGGCCGCTGTCGATGGCTTTGACTTTGGTAAGCATTCCTCTCACCCTCTCCCCTCCTGTTTCCGGCTCCTTTCCTTTCCTTTTCTTTTGTGCAAAGCAAGAAACAACAGAGAACAAAGGAGCTCCGAGCTCCGAGATTAGCAAGAAGAAGAACCCATTCCAATCTTGCTCTCCCTCTCCTTTCCCAAAATAATAATCATCATCATCATCATCCACATTACCCCCCACAGAAAAAAGACGGGTCGCAGATCGTGTCAATCCCGCAGATCTCTAACGTCACCTTACCTTACAGCATGGACGACGACCCCGTCATCTTCTTCGTCGTCCGTTCAAGCATTCGCAGACACCTTGCGCACACTGTCGGACATGCGCAAGAACTACAAGCCCAGCCACCTCTCGAGAACTTCTGCGTGCACAACCGACGATGACGAAGTGCTCCGCGATGTGATCGACGTCTCTTTCGCAACTGCCGATGCCGGGCCAGGAAAAGTAGAAGGCTGCGCGAGCCCGTATCGTAGGACTTTGGGAGCATGAGTGGGACGTCAGGAGCTCGTTCGCTTGCGGGGGAGCCTGATGTGTGTGTTTTGGTCTAGGCGAAAAAGAAGAAGAAAGGGTGGTGCATCATGGACGGCGATGGGCGTTTCCGAGACTGGTCTGGTTTTTTTTTTTTAACTCATTTGGTTTCGGAGGCGAATTTCCAAGCATTTGGGGTAGGGCGATTGCAAGCGGGGCGTTAACGGCGCCCAATTTTTGTCGCGTTGTAAAGATCTTGAAGAGAATGGGGGGCCGGGGGGTTGGGTAACTTGCAATTGGAATGTAGAGATAAGACCATCTCTTTCTTATTCCCTGTCTTTCATACATTCCGACGTTGTGAATACGCATGCATTCTACAGCTGCCACCCCCGTTCACTCGGATGTTGAAACAGTCCGCGCAATTCACCGGCCCCAGCCTCCTCTCCGCCACAACGTTCCTTCGCTCACAACCCTACCAAGCCATGCCAGCCACTCCAACTCCTGCCACGCCTCTCCCGCCGTCCGCACCGTGCTCTTAGCGCAGCCGTTTTGCGTTCATTGCTCATTTCTCGCCACTCTCTGACAGTCCCAGCCCTTTGACGGAGAATGCAAAATTATCTTTCTCTTCTGGTGTCGTAACGGGGCACCACAGCGGAGACTGCGGGCTAAGGCCTTACACAGTATCACGGAAAGCTGGTCCAAGGTGACGCTTCCTGTACGTGTTGCTAGCCACTCAAATATATATGATTACCTACAGCAGATGACCGGGCTGAGATAACGAGCGAGTGAGATCAGCCGGGAGGAGGAAGTCGTGGAAATAAAGTCCCAAGGACTTGTAGCGTAAACGGAAGTCGAGACCCTTAGGTTGATGTGCCACCTCAAAGCCTTAAGACGAAGAATCCAGTACACGACAGGATCAATCTCATTCCTCCTCACCGAGCATAAGAATAGGGATAATCTAGAGACTCGTTATATTCGTGACAAACATACACATATATCCTCAAGACATTGTTATCCGGCACCAACGTACGAGCACACTGACGACTCAGTAGGTGTAGCGGAAGTTTGGATCATCAGGGTCAGTCTGTGAAATGTTAGAATGACGGCCAGACATTCATAGAAGGCACAACTTACATCATTGCTCTCAATCATCTTCTCTCCCCTAGCTTGTTTCTTGTTGTCGCGCCAGAAAGAAACGCCGATGATACAAACAAGAAGGAGGTTCATCAGAGCGCAGGCGATGCAAGCCCACATACCAGGCCTGTAATGAGGAGCATCTTGGGTGCTGTGCGAAAGGGAGGAATCAGTATAGCTCCCGCAGGGGTAGAAAATGGACCGGATAGACGTACCGGAACACCAAGCTTCCCGCAATTCCGCCGATGCCTCCGAAGCCAACGAGCGAGGCGCTAGTGAAGGCACGCTTCCACTGTCCGCGGATGTTGTTTGCTTGGTAACTCATGGTGGCAGGGACGTTGGCGTTGGCACCAGCAGTGACCAAGAACACACCGAAGTATCGTACACCAGCGTTGCTCGCAAAGCCCATGATCGGGAGACCAATAATGCATAGGAGCATGTTGAAGGCGATGATCGGCCCTCTCAAGTGCAAGCGGTCGCCAAAGTATCCGGTTCCGTACATGACGAGGGCACCAAAGATGTATGGCGGGGCGACGAGACACTGGGCTGCGGCAATGCTGAAACCCATGTTGACGCGCAGGATAATGGGAAGGAAATAGGCCAAGGCGTAAGTGATGGTGGTGGTGCCGAAGAAGATCAAGGCGTATCCCCACACCTTCCAGTCCATGCCGCCGCGGAAGAACTTCTTGAGCGAGAACGACTCCAGGCCAGCATCACCACGGTCGGCTTGGACTCGGCTGATGACCCAACGTTTCTCGCGCTCATCCAAGAAATTCCACGACTTGTGTTTGCCGTCAGGGAAGCTGACAAGGAACCAGTAGCCGCCAAGGCCGATGCCGCAGGTGAGCTGTAGTGCGTTAGCATCATGATTGCCTGGCGGGGTCATACAAAACGTACAATGCCTTCTATGATGAAGATCCATCGCCAACCAGTCACGCCACTTAGACCATGCATTTGCATCAGCTGCCACAGTTAGCTATATGTTTTGCCCGGACTGAGATGAGGTTTCGTACTCCGTAAGCCAGGATACCAGAGCAAGCTGAGGCCACACAGCCAATGATGTAGAATACAGAGTATCTTTTACCCATCTCGTCTATTCTGATGTTAATGCCTGTCTTCAAACCTCGGGTTCCTACTGGATGTACTCACATCTAACGTACCAAGTACTCATCAAGTAGACAGCACTCGGGAAAAACCCAGCCTGCAAGATGTCAGAAGGGTGTTTGGTGGTTCAACTGTTGAGCGGGGAAATACCTCGAGCACACCCAGGATAGCACGCAGACCGCCTAGTGTGTTCCAAGTGTTGGAGAATCCCATGCCAATCATGGTGGCTCCCCACAGGAAACAAAGGGCAGACAGATGCAGGCGCGGGCCGATTTTACGAACGATGACTGTGGACGGAGGCTGGAAGATAATGTACGTGATGAAGAAGACGAGAGTAACAATGGACTGCAAAGGTTAGCTGCGGTAAATGCGGGCTGGAGGGGAGGGGTACTCACGTATCGGTAGCCAATCTCCATGTCCAACTCGACGCTCATTCTGGGCGTATGTAAGCAAGGTACACGCGGGATGGGAGATCGGCAAAGCTACCCGGCAATGTTCGCAGCCGACAGGTTTGTCCGGTCCATTAGGCTCACGCAGTACATGACGCCGACCGTCACCACCAGGCGCAGGTCAATGCGGCGAATGATTTTTTTCTGCTCGGCCGGGGTGAAGCCCATGTCATCCGGGCCGCTGTTGTAGTCGACATCAGATCCATTGGTCTCGATGTTGTCGATGTGCTCGACTCTGTCTTTCTCGATGTCGGTCATGGCCGGGGGCCCAACTTGCGTGGCCTGCATGGTCAGGCAAAGGGCGGAAGTGAGGAGGGGGGTGGGAGTGCAGTGAGGAGAGCGAGGTGCAGCCAGAAACAGCGCTGGCGGCCCCTTTCATATCGCGTTGCCAACAAGAGTACCCCCGCACATGGGGTCAATGAGCAGGGGGCACTCTCCAGAAGGGTGGAAAGATGCCGAGGGTGGCACGGGGGAGCGCCATGGTAGCTTGGGGCAAACGAGGCGGACAGCGGACTTGTTACTCGGATTCGGCCAGCGTGGGCGGACAAGCACTGTGGGGTGGGAGCGAAAGGGCGGGTCCCCAGAAATGATGGGGTAGCGAACCGGGGCCCCGCAAAGGACGTGACCCAACTGTGGAGCGTGCCAAGGGTGCGGCTTGACCGTCCACTGGCTCACGCTCATCAACTTGTCGTAAACTGTCCTGCTCGCCGCTCTGGCTGCCTTGGCAGTGCCCGGGGTCCTGGCGGGGTCCTGGCGTGGCTGCCGTCGTCTCCAGCTGGGCCGGCAAGGCTGCCTGGGGGCGATTGGCCACTGAGCGAGACGCTCCTACGTCAGCGAGCCTCTCCGCCGTATCTGGCAAGTGGGACGTCGGTGTGCGCGCGAAGGCTGAGCGTCTCGTTCTCGCTCTCGCCTGTGAGCGGTGTCGGGCCCATGCATGACTTGCAGCAATGAGGCTAAAGTGGCTGCGACTCGTCCACTCACCGTGCTATGCCGGGACCTCCTGGCTGTGGAGGAGGCGTGGGCAAATGCAGGCCGTCTCGCTGCAGAAAGTGAAGTGAAATCTTGCAGACGACGGACCGAGGCTAGATCAAGCGGCCATGTTGGTGGTGAGGACGGCGTTGGACTAGGCACTCTAGGCAATACCTAGCCGGAAGCACCCGCTCCGGCTGCTACTTCCTAGCTTGTTTCCATTATCCCTATCGGGCACTTTGTTCGACCCGCGTTCCTACCAGCACCCCAAGTGACAATGTTCAATGCCATGTCGGCGGTACGGCTCAGCCTCTCCGGTATGAGAAGCTTCTGAATTACACATTATGATTAGGAAACGGGTGCTGGGGCCGTATATAGAGAAAGTCTGTAATCGTGTCATATCGTCGCTAAAAATCCAACGTGCCATACGCCAGGACTTTCCGGAGTCGTCTGGGCCTCTAATCCAACGCCGTGAAATGAACCGGGGGAGATGATCAACAACACCCTCCACGACTCCGCGAGTTTGAAATCTTGAACACCTCTTCCCATTCCTGCACCCCTGACAGGAGGGCTCCTCCCCGACGCTTGCCCTTGCGTCGTTTCCGGGTCCCCCCGCCGTCGGTGGTGCCGCTTTTGATGCTGCCGCCGTCGTCATCGTAATAACCTCCCCAGCTGCCACTGTCACCATATTGGATGCCGCTCTGCGGGTCGTCGGGGTCGATTTCTCCGATCTCAATCTTGGTCAGGATCATTCTGGCCAGGCGAGAGAACAACTCCTCGACGTTGTCCCCAGAGAGCGCCGATACTTCGACCGAGACGGGGACTGAGGCATCCGTGGCCCAACGCGAAGCTACTTCTGTCGACACCTCACGGCCTTCTGGAGACACAGTCACCGTGTTTTGTCCCCCGAATGCGCTTCGTGACGATGATAATGACCCCCAAGCTGCCCTGCTATTTACGCTCGACGGTGTCGGTATCGGCTCGTCCAGTATGGATGGCTCTGGCTCGTATTGTCCCTCGGAGTCTTCCAAATCTTTCTTGTTTCCGGCAAGGATGACGGTAAGCTGCGGAGAGGCCAAGGCACGGGCGTCGTTCAGGAAGGTGGGAAGGGATCTGAAGGATGCGAACGAGCCGAGATCGTAGACGAGGATGGCGCCGGCGGCGCCGCGGTAGTAGGACCGCGAGACGGAGCGGAATCTTTCGGTTCCTGCAGTGTCCCAGAGCTATGGGGGTGAGCGTTGGGGCGTGCTACCGAGGCCGAGGCAGCGTTACCTGCAGCTTTATCCGCTTCCTGCGCGCACCGGTTCCGACCTTTATGATTTTCGAGGCGAACTCGACGCCGATGGTTTGCGAAGAGAAGATGCGCCCTGCCATGGCCGTCAGCTGTATCTGGCGCACGGGGGAAGCGGCAGGAGCGTACACTCATTCTTCACGAACCTGTGCAGCAAACAAGACCTGGGATGGTCAGGTCACGGCTCATCGAGTTGGGGGTTGCAGGCAGAGGGGCGCGTACTTGCCACAGCCGCTTGGCCCGAGCAGAATGATCTTCGCGAGGTAGTCGTACATGCTCCCGAGCTCCTGCGCGTCATGTTAGCGTTGGGCAGCGTCTGGGGACTCGAGCTTGGGTGGTTGCGCACCTGGTCGCGCACGGCGGACGCCGAGGTGGTCGACGCCGTCGAGGGCGCGCGTTGGCGAACCATGGCGTTGGCGGTGGAGAAGGAGCAGTGAGAGAAGCTGCGTAGAGAAGGCGAGGGAGGACGGGCAATTTGGGAGTAGGTATTGGATGTTAGGCTGGGGATGCTAGCATCTGGCGCGAGGGAGCGGTGTCGACGAGGCGGGCCATGCGCTGTCACGGCGCGAACCGGGAGGCGCATCACGACTGCCGATCACCACTATCATTTCATTATCGCAAGGTGGTGCTATGGCCAATCGCTCGCGGGCCCGGTGGTCACGTCGCGACACAAGCGTGATTGCTCTCCTGCTCGACCGACCGGCGTCATCTGCGTTACCGCGGATAGCGGGCTGCGCGTGGCCTGCAGCGCCGTGCCCTGCGCCAGCTGCTGCCCTGCCGCCCTGCCGCCCTGCCGCCCGTGGCCCTGCCGTATCAGTGCGTGAGTGCCTGCCTTCCCACGCGTCTGGGATCGCCCGTCCGCTCCCCACGCCACATCGCCCCCACACGTCATTCTCCCACGCTTGAAAGCCAGACTCCGTCCCTTTCCAACATGCAGCCCTGGACCGGCCTCTGGACGCTTCTGCTCAGCCCTACGACCATGTCGGCGCGCGGAAGTCCAGACTCCCGGCGTTACGCCCGTATAGGCCTGTGCAGACGTCATCCTGTGGCTTTGCCTCCCGCTGGCCGCCACTGTCGCGTGCCCTCTGACCGTAAGCAAAAAAAAGTCTCCTTTCTCACTGCTCTCCTTGCGTCTTTCCCTTCTGTCTTGTGACGACTTCGATTCATTACCTCCCTCGCTGTGACCATGGCCTGGCTGTCGACACTTAATCCCGTGCCTGGCTTTCCCGAGTACAGCGGGCCCTATAAGGTGGGCTCTTTCGACGTAGAAATTCCCGTCTCGGAGCTCGAGTCGCCCAGTCCGCCTCCCGCATCGAGCGTATCGACAGTTTCTTTCCGCGTCTTCTATCCATGTGAACCTGGTGCAAAAGAAAGGGCAGTCCGGTGGATCCCATCGCCACAAAGGGGCTATGTGAGCGCATATGCTCGCTTTCTGGGAGCCGGTTCTGCCCTCGCCCAGGTCTTTGCGTAAGTCATGTCCTCCAGCCGGGATATAGCGGTGCTGACACCGGCCCAGCTACTGTCCACAGTTTTTATACTACACAACCGTCCCCGTCAACCGGAACGCACGTTTACTACCACCACCCACGAATTCGAGCAGATGGCCTGTCATGATTTTTAGCCATGGACTTGGAGGCTCAAGGAATGCATACTCGCAGATATGCGGCTCCATCTCCAGCCATGGAATGGTAGTCATCGCTCCAGACCACCGCGACGGAAGCGCTCCAATCTCGTACGTTCGCGCGACAGATGCCGCCGAGGCAAACATCGTAGACTATCAAAACGTACCACACAAGCCGGGTAAAGAGGTCTTCGACGCGAGAGACTCGCAGCTGAAGATCAGGCTTTGGGAGCTTGGTTTGATCCATGATGCGGTATTGAAGATGGGTGCTGGCGTGGACATGAAGAATCTGGACTCCAACAAGTCTCGAGACTCCAAGAAAGATAGCAGCACCCTGCTTTCGATGTTTCAAGGAAAACTGGATGTCAATCGGCCAGGCTCCATCAGTTGGGCCGGTCACAGTTTTGGTGCAGCGACCGTCCATCAGCTTGTCAAGTCGACCTTCTACCGACCGGACTCGCGAATCGGGGGCTATACGCCTCTGTTCACTCCTGCACCGGCTTCGTCAATTGTTCAGCAGATCACCAGCTCTTCGCCAGTCATCCTCCTGGATATCTGGTGCCTTCCATTGACAAGCCCGAACACCAAATGGCTGGCGGACAAGCCAATGCCGTGCTATGCGCCTGAAGGACCTGGAGGCACGGCTCTGCTTGCCATCCTAAGCGAAGCATTTGTCAAGTGGGCCGACCACTTCCAGGAGACCAAGCGCAGGCTTTCGGAAGACCCTTCATCCGACGCGCCCAGGCAGACAAAGCCGGCGCCACGATTCTTTTACCCGTTGGGCTCCGCCCATCTTTCGCAGTCGGACTTTGGTATCCTTTTCCGCTGGGTGGTAAAGAAGTTCCTCAAGACGGACGAGCCTGAGCGATACATGACGCTTAACGTGCGTGCCATTCTCCAGATGCTTCGCGAGAATGACTTCGAAGTAGCTGATACGAGCCGAGCTGAGATGGAGGAGGGAGAGGCTTCGGGTGATAAGAATGGGTCTGTTGCGGCGAAGGGCAAAACAGGGGATTGGAAGATTTTGGAGACGAATGGGGCGGTCAGAGGCTGGGTTGCGCTTTCCACCAGTCTCGACAAGCCCTCGGACGGGGCGCCTCACGATGCAGATGCAAAGGGCGAACCACTCAGTCAAGTCATCAAGAACGAGGGAGTGGAGCTTTGAGATTTGTTGTGACCTGGTTCATGTGTTTTATGATTAGATGAGTTTAGCATGGCGCATATTCGGTTGGGAGCATTCTCAGGAGCAGTCATCGATAGGTCGGCTCGGATAGATTACAAACTATATAACCATGGCTTGGATGCTTCATGGTGATCGCTTTGCGCGTTTGTGATTGGGTTGCTTGTCATGGCCGGCGGATAAGGCTCGAGCGGCCCGAGCTCCGTGGTCGCGGCAGAACGACGCCCGCGGATTTCATCATAGCTCCGCACTCAGACTCAACTTCTCACCATGGTCAAACCTCTCTCCTTCAAAGGCGACAAAAAGCCCAGGAAGCGCAAGCGCCCGGCCGCCGACGGCAACGAAGATGGCGCCCCTGCAGCCAAGGAGCTCGCCACCGCTGGCGGCTCTGCCGCTCAAGCCGCCGAAGACGACGATTCCTGGGTGACGGCCGAGGCCGCCTCCGACATCTCTGGGCCCGTTACCTTTGTGCTGCCCACCGACCCGCCGGCATTCCTGGGATGCGACGCCAATGGCACCGTCTTCACGAGCAAAGTCGAGAACATGGTCGAGGACGATCCGTCGACGGCGGAACCGCACGACGTGCGCCAGGTGTGGATTGCCCACCGCGTCGCCGGCAACGAGAACTTCAGCTTCAAGGGGCACCATGGGAAGTGAGTGTCTCCATTCCATGCAGCAAGCTGGCGTGACCGTGTGCTGACCTTTGCACCGCAGGTATCTCGCATGCGACAAATTCGGCGTCCTGTCGGCCCAGCGTGAGGCGGTTTCTCAGGACGAATCGTTTCTCTGCATCCCCGTTGCCAACAACCCTGGCACCTTCGCCGTACAGAACCTACGTGAGAAGTTCATCGCCGTCGACGAGGGCAAGAACGAGGTCCGCGGCGATTCCGAAAACATCGACTTCAACTCGACCTTCCGCATCCGCATGCAAGCCCGCTTCAAGCCGAGACCGAAGACCAACAAGGAGCAGAGGGCTGCCGAGAAGATCTCGAGAAAGGAGCTCGAAGAGATGGTGGGAAGGCCATTAGAGGACGACGAGGTGAAGAAGCTGAAGAGATCACGAAGGGCCGGAAACTTCCACGAGACGCTGCTCGACGTGAAGGTAAAGGGGAAGCACGACAAGTTTGCGTAATTCATGGCCACTTCCGGAGCGGCCATCGAATCAGCGAAAGGGGATGGACAGTCCCCAAAGAGCCATCTCGATGGAGAGAGGCGGGCTGTGCTCGTCATCACCTGCCTACCGACGCACGGATTCACCGGTCCAGCTTCTGCAAGTCAACTTCCAGTACTGAGTGCATGCTGTGAGATGATTGGCGTTGTTCTTGAAGCTGCGATAGCAAGCATGTTGATGCGAGGCAGTGCTGGCCAGAATCAGTGATCCAAGCAGGTTTGGCCATGCCCATGCTACCATCTCTAATGAAACCAAGGCACAGGTAACGTAGAAATCACCATTTCTTTTCTGTCATTGTTGAGCGACTGTGCTGTATCCGTGCTCTTTTTTCATTTCGATGCTGTAATATAATCGACATTGTCTTGGCTTTTGAAATAAACCCGAAATCCAGGCAGCTCGCCATGACTCTGGCCAGTGGTCCTGGGCGGCCAGCAAACTCACCGCTTCGACGTGCCTCCGCCGGGCGCCGACTGATGTTGCAGTGCATAGCGGGAGGCTCACAGGAACGCAGGACGCGCAATCACTAGAGCCAAACATCATCTGATGAGGCAAAGCCTTCTTCCTCGCTTCCAGAAATACCCACGGCGGGAGCTAACGGAGGTGGCGGAGCGGGAGCTTTCTGGCTGTCTGGGGAATGGAGAACCCAAGTCAGGCTTCAGAGCGGGCAGGGCGAGCACGGTCAGGCAAGTCGTGTCGCATGACGCAGATGTTTCCAGTGGATGCTTGGCTCGAGCGTACGCGTTTAGCCCGAGTCCGGGGCTACCATTCGCTCGCTTTCAGGATTCCCCTGGCAGCGTTGATGCAGAAGGTTGCAGCCACAGCCTTCCCGCCGCGCCCTGGCACTGCTTGGCACCCAGCAGGATCAACCCTCCCCGCCCAGCCATACCTGCCGTGGCTCCAATCAGGATGCGTTCCGGCCAGAGAGCCGACCTCTTGGCTTCCAATTCCCGACAGAGATCACGTCTCCGGTGCTTGGTAGCACCGACTGCGCCTCTGGAATCGTCGTCAGTGCGGTCGTGGTGGGGATTGACGCTGCTGGCTGTTGAGCGGATATAAATTCCCCGGACATCAGAGTGTGGAGTAGACTATATCCCTGCCCTGCCCGCCCGTTCGCTTCTGGTCAAGACACAAACACATCTTCTCGTTCATCATCCACCAAGAAGCCACAACCTTCGACCTTCTCCCACCATGCAGTTCAAAGTGCTTGCTCTCCTCTCAGCCCTCGCAGCTATCGGCTCAGCCCAAGACATCGACAACAATGACGTCCCCAATACCTGCCGATCTGTCTGCCAGAGCACCATCGACCTGACCACCCAATGCGACCGTCAAACCGACGACGACGACGAGGGCTACATCAACTGCGTCTGCTCCACCACCAACGCGAGCAGCTTCATCCCCGAGTGCGAGGCCTGCGTCGCCGCCAATGACGAGGCCGACAACGGTAAGAAGAACCTCGCCAACAACCAGCCCCCTCCCAAAGAGCATGTTGACTAACCGCACCACAGACGTCCGCGACATCGTTAGATCCTGCTCTTTCACCCAAGTCTCCACTTGGAACTCAGGAACTGCCACTGGCACCGCCACCTCCTCCGCTTCCACGTCCTTCAGCATCACCCTAGCCAGCTCCGTCACGGCCACGGCCACGTCCTCCGGATCCGGTACCGGTTCTTCGGCCAGCAGCCAGTCGACTGGTACCACTAGCAGCAGCAGCAGCAGCAGCAACAGCAACAGCAACAGCAACAGCGCGAGCACCGGCTCGGCCGGCTCGACGGCCTCTGCTCAGGCTACCGGCGCCGCCGCGCCCGCAGTTACCGCCGGCTTTGGCGGCATTGCCGTTGCCATCCTGGCTGGCGTACCCGCATTCTTGTAGATGGGCATGTTGTTTGCCTATTGCGTGGAAAACTATCCAGTGGCCCATCGGATATGGTTGCAGCGTCAGCATACTTCTGTGGGGATTTTCAGCGGTGATGTTGGGGTAGATAGACACGACAATGACCTACGATACAGAAACGACAACTGAGTGCTCGATATACCAGACAGATTCCGTTAATTAAATTGACCGACTATTCGTCATTTATGTTTTCCCATGATTTCGCAGAGAGTGTCCGTTGGTTGCAGATGAAGACTAAAAGAAAACATGGCATTCAACAATTATTTGGACGAGAAGTGAATAGCAAAAAAGATGAGAATAACAAATTTTAAGGCATATGAGAGCAACAGGACCGTCCCGCGTGTACGATTTGGTGTCCAGGGGCGGGAATAAACCGCCAATGCTAGAAAGTGTAATGCCTAACGACGACGGCGCCATTTCTCTTTTTTTTTTCGGCTTCGCAAAAGAACATTACCCACCATAGTGGCTACTAAAAATTAAACAGCTATGTCGATCTAAGTCGCTCCTACTACTACTACTACACGGCCGTGGTGGGGAACAGGCATCCCAGAGTAACAGGTTCATCCCGGTGGCCAGCAGCCTGCTGGTTTGGAAGCTCGCGTCGCAAGACAGCGCGGGCCCTGGAAACAGTCACACAATGATCTTTCAGCGTACATTGAGCTTTCTATATATAGGGCTGCAAGGTGCGTCTCCAAACGTGGGGCTCTCAAGCTGTATTTGTGGATGGTTGGGGGCCAAGCGCTGAAGGGGTTGGATTCATTGCATGTCGTCATACCAACCTCAGAACCAAAGCAGTGAAGTCGAAACGAACATGCAAGGGCAAGACTAAATCTATCTCCTCGTAGTCGAGAGCTTCGTGATGATAGCGTTGGCTCTCCGCGTTTATACGAAGCTGGAGAAGGTGCAAGCGTCTCCAGTCAACAAACGACAAAGGATGAATTCATCGAGAGACTTGAACAACAGAGGATCTTCCTTGTTGATCGGCGCTTTTTCTTATTATAGATGCGTCGTTGTTGTTGTTGTTGCTGTTGTTGTGTTGTCACCACGGTACCACCGCTAGTGCCAGCTCAATGGGGCTGTGCTCGTCTGCCTATCCGCACCTCAGCCTCGAAGGATTCAAACACGCCAGGAAGCATCCTCGATGAGGAGGAATGTCTGGTGACGTCGCGCTTTGCTTGGCGCAGTGAGGTACCTGGAAGATACATAATGGCTAGCGGCCTTTCTTCCGCCACAGCCACTGACCGGCCGTTTCCATCCATCCCCTCGTTAATTGCTTTCGGGGAGGACCTCAGCAGAGAAAGTAAAATAAAAAAGTACAAACAAAATCGGAAAGATGGCGATTCCGTTCTCCAGATTCGCCCACTCGCCGCCCGCCCGCTGGCGCGGTCGTCTGAAACACGGTCCGCAGCTACTCATCCCGCTGCTCGTCCTGGACATCACCATGATGGCGCTCGTAGCCGCCTCCATGGTCTACTCTGCCACAGCCACGACATACTACGGCTCAACGAACATCGGCATGTACTGGGGCGGCAGCACGAGCGAGAAAGCGTACGTACATACGTCCCACCCGAATATCCTGACGTCGAAAAAAAAGAAAAAGAAAGAAAAAGAAAACCACCCCCAAACCAACCAACTAACCAAATCAACCAAAAACCACAGCGCCAACGTATTCCTCTACCTCGCCGTCCCCGCGCTCGACCTCTTCCACACCCTCGCCCAGATGGCCGCCTACCTCTCCACCCGCACCCGCACCCGCACCCGCACACCATCGACATCATCGACATCATCATCGTCGCACCATCGCAACCCCCCCGCCGGCCAGCTCCCCGCCCTCTCCTTCCTCCACCCCGCCGCCGCCCTCTCCGGCGCCCTCGTGTTCGTCTGCCTGTGGGCGTACCAGGTCTCCATCGCCGCCGCCATGGACCTCGGCGGCGGGTGGGAGCAGCCGCAGGGCGACGGCGCGTGGCGCGGGCTGGCGGTGGCGCGGTGCGCCGTGGGCGTCGCCGCGTGGGTGCTGTGGGCGGCGTATGCGGGGTGCAGCGCGGCGGCGGTGCATTGTTGGAGGAGGGAGGAGAAGAGGGAGAAGAAGGAGAGGAAGAAGGAGAAGAGGAAGGAAGAAGAGGAGGAGGGTGTGGATCGGTTGCGGGGGTTGGGTGACAACAACAACAAACCTGCTGCTGCGGGCATGGGGACGTCGAAGCTGTTTGGGGATTCAATGGTGGATGTGGGGCTAGACGACGACGACGATGACGACGACGGTGATTGTGCGAAGAAGGTCTGAGCGGCTGGGAGCATCTTTCTGTGGAAGGACGGAGGTAATGGCTAATGAAGATTATCATGGATGAAACGTATGGCCAAGGGAAAGCAATACACAGCGACAGAAGGGAAGATACGAACGCAGGAGTAATGAATGATGCCCGTGGTTGGGATCATGTTCAATAAGATCATGATCACACCAATCACCTTTAGACGCGATAAACACAAGCGAAGTGGCAAGTGTAATCGAATTTGTTGCCACAAGCCATTGACAGGTGTGAAGCTTTCTGTAACTAGGTAGTCTTTCATTCGAAGCCAGGCTTTACCTACGTAGTGGAATGGCCGCCAGATGCATGGGACGACTCCCCCGTTCCCGAAAACCCCGAACCCCACCACTTCCGTGCAACATTAGTAATGCGATCCAAAACCGCACCAACCTGACCACGTTCTGCTCGTGGAACCTAGTTCTCAGCAACCGCATCTTCTCCCTTCTCGTCCGGAGAGTGAGCTTCAGTCGTACCTTCGTCCACATTCTCTTCCTCAGCATTCGCCGTCAACTCCTCTCCGTTTCCATCGGCCATTTTGGTGTCAGCAAGACCATCAATCTCGTCACTAGGGGCAGCAGCCTGGAGGAGCCACAGCCCTGCCATGTTCGGGAACTCGACCCAACGCCTGCTCGGATCATCCTCTTCATCCTTAGTGACGTCGAACGTCTTCGCCTCAAGCTTGCCATTCTTGCCGCCAGATCGCGCCTCAGACCGGCTGCGCGGAACGTCAGGGGCAGCAAGCTGCAGGTATGCAGCATCTTCCTCAGTCTCTAGGACTTCGGCTCTGCGGTAGTCAGATATGATGGGCTGCCAGCCGGTTAGTTCTGACACTTCCATTTCCTTGTAGACAACGATCGAGCCAACGCGAATGTCCTCGGGTACAAGTGTTTGTAGAGCTGTGACATCCGGAGGCAGGGGAGGGAGATCATCGCTCGCATTCATCTGCTCGTCGGCGTTCTTGGGCTTCAATGAAGCTTCGGATACGCCCTGCGCATCTTGTGTCTCTTGGAGGAGCTGCGATTGTGCAGCGTCGGCCTCAGCTGGCTCATCATAGTCAAGAATGGACCAATCCTCGTTCCCATCCCGTTGGTAGTGCTGCTCCGGCTCGTTGTACGTCTGATTGTTCTTCTTACGCTTTTTCTTGTTCTTCTTCTTGTGCTCGTGCTCCTGGTCATACTCCACATACTGCTCGTACCACTGCTGCGGATCCCAACGTTGCTTGAACGGGAAGGGCGGCGCGCTCAGCTCCTGTACATTGCCATCCGAAACTTCGAACGCCATTAGTTCTATCCGGAACTTCCAGGAATCGGGATCCTGAAGGTCTTCAGGTTCCTCTTCCACTTCTTGCGCGGAGGATTCGCCATAAAACCTCTTCTTGCCGCGTCTGCTTACGGTGGCAGCTATCTTATCCCTCAACTTCTGTTCGTCTTCCTTTGTTTTTGGATTGCGAAGACCCAGTGACCCCATGGTCAAGCGACGGAAGCTGTCGACATCGATTCGCTTACGCTTGGGAGCTGGAGCATCTGTGACTTCATTCTTGGCTTCTCGCGTCGTCTCGGTAGGGCTTTCCGGTGTGAGTTCGGAAGCAGGTTTTTGAACCTCGTTGCCGAGACCTGACTCCCCTGCTCTGTTGGTCGAGTCCTTTTCAATGTCCGCATCAAATGATTCCTTCTCTCCAGCACTAGCATCTGTGGGAGTAGAATCTACATCAGTCGGACCCTTCTTTGAATTGCTGACGTCGAATGAGGAATTGAGCATCATGAGTAGCTGGGCCTTCTTCTTCTCGAGCAAATCGGTCTCCGCATCTTTTTCTGCTAAACGGGAAGGTGAGGTAACGATGCTAGTCCCTTGGACGTTCGGGGGAGTCCCCATCCACCTACCAGCTTCATGAGGTGTATCACGCTTGTGGAGCTTTCCAATCCGACGACGCCTGTTCCGCGCTTTGGTTCTTTTCAGACCTTGAAAAGGTACACGAGTCGGGATCGGCGATGCATTCTGCTGGCCAGTGCTTGGCTGTACTACGATTGGCAGAGGTTTTGAGCTGGCTTCGTCCGGCTCTGAGCCGGAGTCAGAATCATCTTCATCAGTGGAAGACGAGTCCGAGTCTGAGGTATCATCGGATGAAGAGTCGTCGGACGAGGAGTGCTCAGACGAGGCGATATCAGACGAGGGGTCGACGGATGAAGAGTCGGAATCGTCAGAAGATGAGTCAGAGTCAGAGCTAGACGGGCCAGAGTCATCGGTCGCAGCGGTGTCGACCACCTTTGTGTCTACATGGATCGGTTCCGCGCGAGTCGACACATCTGATGAGCTGTCTGAGATACTGAGAGGGCCCCGATATTCCTCCTCAGTATCATCATCCGATGGGAGCGCTACCAATGCGTCATCGTCTTGGAAATGTACACTTTTGTCAGACTTATCCGACCTTACGGACTCCAGCCTTCTCCGCTTCGGAGCAGGTTGCTCTGCGACGAAGTCTTCATCGTCTTCGTCGTCATCAATGTGATGTTGGAATTGAGGCACATCGTCAAGGAGCCCGTGGACTTCGTCTCCGTCGGTGGAGTCGGCGATGGGATTCTTCAAGGGCGGAATGTTGACGGGCGGACGACCGGGCTTCCGAGCGGAAAAGTAGGACTTGCCGAAGGGGATGCCATCGACAAGATGCTGGCCATTCGCGTTGATTTGATCGCGGCCGGCGATATGGCGTGCGCGAAGCTCGGGCTGGGTGAGATGGCGAATGCTGGGGGCATTTTTTAATGGGTGAAGCAGCCAAGGCGTGTCGGCGCGAGGGGGGCTTACCAGACTTGGTCCTCATCCTTGAAGATATCCCTAACATTCTGGAAGTGCAGGGCCTCGTAGCTGGCGATCTCAACGGTGTAGTCCTCCAAGCCCCAGTGCAGACTCTCGAGCGGGATAATGTCGTTGACGTGCTCGAGCAGCTGGGCGACGGTGAAGGCGTCGTTGGCTCTGTCGTCAGGCACTGCCCACAGCAGCTCGGCCGTGGGCAGATTGTGACGGCGGATGCTCAGGCGCAGCCTCATTCGTGCGGGCGTGTCGGGTGGGCGTGAGGCGGCGTGTGCAGGAACGCGATGCGATGACGACGCAAGTGAGGATGGTGGGCGGAAAATACGTACCAGTAGGGCTGGTGCTGCACGGACCACCGCCCTCAACGTGGGGCCTGGGTCCGCCGCAGGGCAGCGACGAGCGTCGAGAGCCGAACGGCGATCGCCCCTGCCCTCGCTGGACAGACAAACATGGCCTCTCCATTGGACGCTCGCGCACCTCGCACACCTCGCACACCTCCACCTCCACCGGCGACTTTTTCTGATACGGCCGAGGGTCCGGCTGAGGGTCCCAACTCCCAAGTGCCGCTCGGCAATGGCGCCGACTGCCGCAATACTAAACGAGCGGACCTCCCTCCATCTCGGCAACGCGGCTCCCAGCCCACATTGAAACATCCCCAAGATTCGCCTGCGCCCGGCCCATCGGGTTTTACGTCAGGAAACGAGGGCCCTGCCGGCGATGCATCCGACCGCCCTGGCCCCGGACGAGCCGGACTACTTGAGCAGGATAGAGGCGGTTGACTCGGACCCGGCTTCAGAGCTCACGCTTGCATGAACTGCCGGAGAAAAAGAGCAGGCCGACGCAGAGGACTATTCCGGCAATGGCTGGCGCAGCCGGAGCGTGCTGCCAAAGGCGTTGCTCTGGCGTGATGCGCCGGCGGGCCGACGGTTGCGTAGGTGCGCACAATTGAGCACATTTCTCAAAAGGGCAGCGGCCCAAGGCCTCCGAACGCGCGCCTAGCCCTACCCGCCCGGATTCCCTGCGTAATCTCCATCTTGACAGCTCCGCTTTTGCTGCTACTTGACGCCTCAATATGCTCGCCTGTGTCGCATCTGCAATCCAGATTTCATGTTTCGCTGCACCTTGCTCCACCCACGCTCTTGGCGGCGCCGCCGCCGGGGAAGCGCCCGTATCAACAATCTTTAAGACCTACTGCTCCCTTCTGCTGTCTGTCACCGACCCCAGCTAGTACTCCCCCAATGGCCTTGTCTTGACACCCACGCTTTCGCCCCCTCGCCGCTCCAGCCTCTTTGCCAGGCCAACCCCCTGTCCTTCCACATCGCCCAACTCACCAACCATGGAGCGGAGACACATCCAGGATGAATCGTCCGCTGCATCACTGGAGCATCACTGGGGCTACGCCGACCGGGTCGTCCCGTGTACCAACGATGCCGGAACTTGTGAATACCTGGATGCCGTCTACTGGATGATGGACATGTCCATTCTCTACACCTTCATTTTGTGGGCAGTCATCGGCGGTCTGCTAGCCCTTTGGGTATTCCTGCGCTTTGCCAAGCCAAGCAGAAAGACCTTCTCCAAAATGTTCCAGGGAAAGGGGGATCTCGAGGCGCCTGCGAAAAGAGATCTCCAAAGCAGTGTATACAGGACATATAGAACCACGGTGGTGTCGCTGAGGAGATGGCTTTTGCCAGAGACGCTAAGGAGCGTTTTCGGCAACATCTCCCGACTCCAGGTATTGATACTTGCCTGCATCCTTGGATATCTTCTCATCTTCTCGTATGTACACCACCTAAACGTATCCACCAATTTACTGACACTGCAAACTTAGGCTCGTGGGGACCGTTTACAAGACCTGGATCACTCCGGTCAAGACGATGCCAGGCGTCTACAACACTCGCACCGGTTTTGGAGGCTTTGCAGACAGGGTCGGTGCATTCGCATATGCCCTTACTCCGTTTACCGTTCTTCTTGGCTCCCGCGAAAGTGTGCTTTCACTTCTCACCGGCGTTCCGTACCACCACTTCAACTTTCTGCATCGCTGGACTGGTCGCATTATCTTCATTCAGTCTTTCCTGCATACTCTCGGCTGGACCATCATCGAGGGTAAGCTCTATCAGCCACAGCCTACTGTGTTCAAGGAGTGGATTGCCCAACAGTACATTATCTTCGGCATCGTCGCCATGGTGTTCATCACTTTCCTTTATATCTTCAGCATCAAGAGCGTTATTCGATGGACCGGCTATGAGTTCTTCAGGAAGGCACACTACATCGTGGCAGTGCTGTATTTGGCAGCATGCTGGGGCCACTGGACCAAGCTCGCGTGCTGGATGATTGCAAGCCTTGGCTTGTTCTTCATCGACCGAGGCTGCCGTCTCCTGCGCGTCGGCCTTATCCACAGCGGCTACAAGAGCGGCAACAAAGGCTTCGGGTTCCGCGCCGCCCAGTCGACTCTCCAAGTCTTCGACGACGGCGACTCTATTGTTGTACGCATGGATTTCGAGCACAACCACGACCCCTGGAAGCCGGGTCACCACTTTTACCTCTGCTTCCCGGAGCTCACCATCTGGCAATCGCACCCCTTCACGCCCTCCTCCCTGCCGGCGCCGCATCCTGCGCTCCCGAAGCACACCTATCTCATCCGCACCGAACAAGGGGAGACCAAGCGCCTGGCCGACCTCGCTCTGTCCGCCGAGCGCTGCGCGGAGAAGAAGACCACCCCCGTCATTCTCACGGGTCCCTACGGCACCGCCGTCTTCGACTCAGACAGTGAGACCAACGGCCAGATCGACAACTACCTCTGCATCGCCGGCGGCACGGGCGTCAGCTTCACGCTGCCCATCGCCACCGCCGCGGCACAGGCCGGCGCCGCCACCGTCGACCTCATCTGGATCCTGCGCAAGACGGACAACTTGGCATGGCTGCGGCCCGAACTGCTCGACCTCAAGGCCCGCATGGACGCCGGCGCCCTGCCCAACCTGCGCATCAAGATCTTCGTCACGCGCGACAGCGAGATCGCCGCCGCCCGCACCAAGGCCGGCGAGAAGGACGTCGACGCGTGCGTCTGCGCCGTGTCGTCGCGCGTGTCCGACATCCTGGCGCCGCAGGCCGGCTTCGATGTCGAGTGGCTCGAGGACCACCACCCGGACGTGCGCGAGTGCCTGTCCGACTTCAAGGAGCGCGCGGCCGCTGCTGGTGGGCGCTGTCAGGTCGTCGCTAGCGGACCCAAGAGCTTGGGTACCGATCTGCGGAACGCCATCGCGGAGAAGAGTGAGGCGGGGAGGGTGTGGAGGGGAGACGAAAGCCACGACATCGACCTCTACTGGGACGATAGAATGGGCTGATCTGCAAGGAATTAAAAAAGAAAAAAGAAAAAGGAACAAAACAACATACAAGAGCTCTCTGGCAGAGGTCTCACGACCAATACTTGAACGATATAGATTAATGATGACTGGATATCCATTGCGCGCCCAAGAAATTTTTGGCGCCTTTTGCCTTTCAATAACGCCCGAACCCACTGTACAACGTGATCTATGATGCTTTTTGTTCATGACCAACCGCTCTCTGCTCTTCTGTTGGAAAGCTCCTGTACTGCGGAAAGATATAATCGGAGTGAAACGAAAAAATTTGCGTAGTGATTCTTTCCCTTTTATCTCCGTGCGCCTGAACTCGCACCGCCGCGCGGCCGTGACCTGCCTTTCCTCGCTGCGCTCCTCTGTGCGTACTTCTCCAGCTCCTGCTCGTCAAGCTCCTTCTCCTTGTCCGCCGACAGCAGACTGCCCTCGAAAGTAATGAAACCTCTGTCGTGCTCGGTGCGCGGCGACGCTTCGAAATCCCGAATGCGGAACTTGATGACGCCGTCCACCTTCTTGCCCTGCGCATCCACGAAATGTCCCTGGTCGCCATACAGCTTACCCGCACCTTCCGGCTCCTCCTCTTCGTCGTCGGCGCCGCCTTCGCCCGCGGCGACCCACGCCCAGTCCTCGGGCAGGCGCTTGCGGTCGATGCTCGCGGAGAACAGGTTCCAGCAGACGAGGCCGAGGTGGCTCTCGTTCTGCAGGTTGACGCTGCCCTCGATCCAGATGCCCTTGCGCGGGCGCAGCACCACGAAGTCGGCCGTGACCCAGACAAACGACACGGCGTACTCGTCGACGGAGCGGGCCAGCACGGCGCCGGCGGGCGACACGCCGGCGGGGCCCTCGGAGAGCTTGGCGTTGTTGTAGGCGAGGACGACGCCCTTGAGCGGCGGGTAGTAGGTCAGGAGCAGCGGCGACAGGTGCTCGGCGCACAGGGCCTTGAGCGGGTACTGCTGGCCGATGGACGCGAGCGGGAGGTAGAGCGATGCGGTTTGGTGGACGAAGGGCGAATCGTCGGAGTCCATGGGCTTTGCCGCGGCAGGCTTTTGGAACATCGAGGTCTTGCCCTTACTCGCCTTTTGCGGCGTGGCATCTGCGCCCTTTGCGGCGCGCGGCTTCTTAGCGGGCGACTGGTGGGCCTGCTCCTCCTCGCGGGCGCGCTTCTTGGATTTGTGTTCCGATTTGTCCTTTTTGTGCTTGTGCGCCTTCTTGTCGGCGACGGGCGAAGTCGCGGCCATGGCTTCGGCGGACATGCCTGGCTTCGGCGGGTCAATTGGCGGTGTCGCGGTGGTGATGGTGGAGTGGCGCACTTTTTTCTGGGAGCTCACGAAGGCGGTCAGCGAGCTCGGCGAAACGTGGTGCCGACGTGATGCCTCAGGCCAGAACAAAGTCCCGCCCTACTTAGGTAGTGGCCCAGGGCTGTTGGGAGGTCCGAGCTTCGAGCTCCATCTGGCATCATCGCACAGCGTCGCAACTTCCATGCCGCTGCAATCGCCGTCTGTCCCACTTCACCGCAAACATGCCTGGTACCAACCAGTACTTGTCCGTTGCCGGCTGGTGGTTTCTGCCCACGGTATGCTTCCTCTGCCTTTGTCTTCGCGCCATGCGCTAAACGCAGCCCCCGATAGGTCGTGGGATACATCCAGTCCTTTCTCTACTCGCTCTTCATCCGCGCCGGCGATCCCCGCCCTCAGCCCGGCTCTCCCAAATTCATAAGGCACAAGAAGATCATCCAAGGTCTGGTAGTTATCGGCTACCTGGTCTATTCCATCTACGAAGCCGACTGGGAGTTGCAACGTGCCGGCAACTTTTACCAAGCCCTTGGAGTCCCGGTCAACGCAACAGAGAAGACCATAAATACGAGGTTCCGCAGGCTGTAAGCACCACTTGATGCAAAGCTCGCGAGACAACATCCTGACCCGCACCAGCACTGTACTACATCACCCGGACAAGGTCACATCCGCCGAAGCCCGCCCCGCGGCCGAAAGATATTATGTCTTCCTCAAGCAGGCGCGCGACATTCTCGTCGACCCGGCTAAGCGCTTCGCATACGATCGATTTGGGCCGGGTATAGTAGAATGGAAGCACTGCATCACGGTACACGATTTTGTTATGCACGGTGTGCAGAGCAGTGCCCCGTCATACCTGGGAGGCGCCTCCGTCATGATTATGTTGGGCATGCTGGGCTATTTCCAGCATGGAAGCTACGTGAGTCACCTTTCCTCGCAGTAGTCGACGTCCAAGAGGCGCAAAGTATTCTAATTCGCAGCACCAGTGGCGCTACCTCGCATTCGCTGCCCTCGTCGTCTTTGAGTGCCACACGATATCGCGTCCCGACTTCCCGCCCTTACTCACCAAGATCCTAAACCCGCTCGTCTCCACCCTCCACCTTCACGCGCCTTGGCTACCCTACCAGATCCTCAGCATCGTCCGCAAAGGCACCTTCGCCTCCTTTATCGCCATGAATCAGCTTGGGCCCCTGATGCGAGACCCGAAACGCAACCTGCAGACCCAGGACAACCCCGCCATGCAGCAGCAACAGCTCGACCGTCTAACCCAGCTGTGCGCCGCCACTGACACGGACGCCCTGCGCCTGCTCGGCGTCGAGACCATGCCGTTCCAAGGCGAGGATGGCGAGAAGGAGCTCAAGGCTAAGATGAAGGGCTGGCTCGTGCAGAACAGCATCAGGAGCGATCCGGTTGTCAGGGATGCCGTGGGTCGCGCTGTGGCGAGGAAGCGCCAAAATGCGCCGGCGGGCGCGAGAGGGACGACTTAGGAAAAGATAGATTGGGTAGGAATGTTAGATGCTTTTTTGCTAGTTCTTTTCGGACATCTGCCGAAACGATGTAGTGCATGGTGTGGACGATGCGAACAATCTCACTCGAGGTTGGGCTCCGGCTCCGGCCCACCATGGGTTCTAGAAATGTCCAAAGGTGATGTGGATTTACTGACGCTTCTTACATTGGTGGTTCAAAGCCAAGGTCCGGACGTAGATGTAAGTCGTAAGTCTACATATGCATCCAGATACAGGACTAAGCTCCCCAAGAATGCAGAGTGCAATGTCTTCTCGAGTTGGGTTCTTCGCAAGCCTCTTGCTGACGCACTTGGCTCATCCATATTCCACTTCATCACCGAGTTACCGAAAGACCGCGAACATAGCGTTGGCGAGACATTTGGGGTCAGACTCTCGGCTTTCCGCGGAAACTAGTGGGAATATCGGACAGGCTTGCCCCTTTTTTGTTCTTTTACACACCCACTCTAGCCGACGACGTTATGCTTCGGTTGAGCCTGTGGAGGTTCCCCTTTCCAACGCGCCCGCTGTAAATCAAGGGTGTCGGTCCAGCGTAAGCCAAGACGGCTCTTTCTAGTTGCCGTTCCGATAATTGTATGCCCGCTCTAATGTGAGTCAACTAGTCGTCAGGTTCCTTTTGGTCTTGCGGGCATCCTCTCCCTCGCCCATCGGCGTTTATCCAATGTTGTGAGCATGGAATAGTACGTAGTATGGTGGACAATGACAACAACGCATAGAAAGCTGGCTTGCGTCCTCTGGCATGTGGAAAAAGGTGTCCATCCTGATACCATAGCCTATAAATAAAAGCGTGTAGAGCCAAGAAAATGACAGCCACGGGTTGCTTAACCCACACACAGACGAATCAAGGGAGATTAAAAACCCGTCACATTTGTCGGCTCCGACACTGCCTTCATACTGGACCAACTGTCTGTGGTGGCACATACGTTGCAGCTTTGGAGCCTCGATGATATCAAAGTGTGTATATAATGCTTTAGGAAATTGCTTAGCGTGACGCAACATTCCCCAATAGCCTAGCATGCACACTCCAAACCCGCTACAAAGAACCGCCACCAACAGTGAGGCCCAGCAGACTTCTTAATCTTTTCACTTAGAACAAAAGAAAACTTATAAAAAATAAGAAAGAAGTTCAAACCCGCCCCGCAGCAGCCGCCTTCCTCCTCGCCCAGCTCTCCTCCATCACCTCCCTGAAGCGCTTCGGCGGCCTCCCCGTCAGCATCTCGACGTCGCCGCTGATGACGGCCATCTCGCCCAGCCGGGTCGCCTTGCCGAAGCTCACCATGTCGGTGCTGTTCCACGGGAAGCCGTTGACGACCAGGTCGTCGACCGGCTCGCGCGGGATGCCCATGGCGTCGAAGTCGGCAAACATGTCGTCGTCGGACAGGGCCTCGAACGCGACGCCCGCGGGGCCCTTGCCCGAGACCTCGCCCATCAGCGCGGCGGCGTGGCGCCAGCTCAGCAGCTCCGGGCCGGTGATGGCGTAGGCGCGGTCGGCGTGCGGGGCCGGGTCGCACAGGACGGCGACGGCGGCGGCGACGCAGTCGGAGCGGGCGACGAAGGCGACGAGGCCGTCGCCGGCGTTGGAGCGGAGCGCGCCCGCCTCGATGGCCGCGGGCGCCGCCACGTCGGCCATGGCGTCGGCGTACTGGGCGTCGCGCAGCGCCGTCCACTTCATGCTACCACCAGTCGTCGCCGCCGCCGCCACCTCCCTCAGCATCGCCTCCGTGGCGCGGTGCTCCTGCCCCACCAGCGCCGTTGGCGCGGCCCGCTCCGCGGACACGATGGACGTGTAGACGATGTGGGTGACGCCGGCGCGGGCGGCCGCCTCGATGGCGGTGCGGTGCTGCGGCAGGCGCGCGCCCGCCCGCGACGTGCTGATCAGGAGCATCGTCGACGCGCCCGCAAAGGCGGCCGCCAGGGTCTCGACGGCGTCGTCGAAGCTGCCCTGCCGGATGGAGAGACCCCGCTCCGCGTAGGCCGACAGCTTGCCCGGGTTGCGCGTGAGGAGGAGGAGCGACGAGGGCGGGATGCCGCGCGCGAGCAGGCCCTCGACGGCGAGCCGGCCGTATTGGCCTGAGGCCCCCGTGATAAGGATCTTGTTGTTGGCTGTGCCACCCGCTTCTTGTGCTGCTGCCATCTTTGGATGAAGGTGAGAGGGTTCTGTGATGCCGAACCGGAAGAGGGGGGAGGTTAAACTAGGAAGATGGAAGGTTGCTTGGACCCGATTCCGGCAGTATGGTATGGTCCGGACGGATTGCTAAAAGGTGATGGAAGGGAAGATGGTAGGGGAGATCTGGGTAACCAAACGAGTGGTGGGTGGGTGGTGATATGCACACGCAGTTTAATAGCAAAACAGGACCCACCGTATACACAGTGCAGCTGCACGGCCACATGGCGGAAGACGGCATGGATATGACATGTCGTTCATGGAAAAGTCCCAGTGCGGTATCTCTGCCGCATATCCTTCGGACATATGCTGTTGGACGTTGAAAGCCAAGCAGCAAGCTCCCGGACATCTGACCTTACGGCGGAGGTGGACAAAAGATTGGGGCTGGCCGCACAGTCCGTCGCGCCAGTTTCAAGGGCCAATTGGGCGCCCTAGGCTGAAATTCGGGGTAAAAGTAGGGCTTGTGGGCGGAGCGAGACTGCTTTCCCGATCCAGGCAGAAAGCACTGATAGATGCTGTCTGGACGAGGGGGGCATTTGCCGACGTAAATGTGCGGACGGCATCCCCACGGGCTCCGTTGTCGCTGCAACATCCGCCGCGTCTTTTGTATGTACGCATGCATTTTGTTGTAGCATGTAATTTCCGCGGAGATAAGCTTTCGGCGGACTCCTCAGCATGTAGTCGCAGTGCAGTCGTATTCGGTTTCCGTGCTTGCGGCTCCCTTCAAAAGAAGAGTGTCATATCGGAGACGCCGGACGTCGCCGAGGACGGAGCCATGAGAAAAGGTGGCCGCAATCTCGCATAATCAAAAGCAGAAGGCTTGACGACTTCAGAAAATGCCTTCCACCGGTTCCTGTTGGCTAAAGTCGTATGCGTTGCCATACGGCCGGTTCAGATATCGCTTTTCCACCTCTTCTCCCGGCATGAACTTTCCTTGGACTTGAAGGCCGGTCCGCTCGTTGCTCAAGGCCGGCTTCAGCTCGTCCGCCAGCTCCACGAACATAGGATTGCGGTACCAGGGTGCGAAGTGGACTGCAAAGAGCAGCACGCGACGTCAGCATACAGAGACAAGCAATTTGGGCGACCGTGGAACGAAGTCCTGGACGCATGCATGGGTTGCACTTACTCATAGCCAGCATCACCCGCGGATCCTTCGATAAGTTGGGCATTCCGCCATGCCCTGGATGATATCAAGTCAGCATAATCGCTCGTCTTGGATCCTAAAAGGCTTTGCTTCTTGGCCCTCGAGCCCAGTGACGAGTGCGCTAGGGGCAGTGGATCCGAGACGCGCCGTGAAGCTCCTGTGTTTGCCAAGTGTCGCCCTAAACAACACATTCCCCGCAAAGCCAGAAAGCTATTCGACCTTGGCAATGCTCGCCACACGACAGCGTCCAACAAGCAAGCCACCAGACCTCACATGCTTGAATATGAGAAAAGTGCACACTTACAAAGCCTCAGGTCCCTCACCACGACCGCTCCCTTCGGCACGACCGGCTGACACGGTGGCCTCTCCTCCCTCCACCGCCGCAGAAGCTCCTCCTTGATCCGCCCGCTCGCCCTCTCGCCGTGCCGGCCTTCTTGGACGGACAGGTCGGACGTGGCGTGCGTGCCGAGCCAGACCTCGGTCGAGCCGTTCGCTGGCGTCATCTCCACCAGCGGCACGTTGACCACGAGCGCGAACGGGCTCTTCGGGTGATCGAAGTCGGCGTCCGTGTGCGTCGGCTGCGCCTGTGGCGGGTCGCCGCCGTCCGGCGAAGGGGGCAGCGCCGTGTTACCGGAGATGAAAGACATGCGAGGACTTGGGCCCAACGTTGTGCTGGTGACTTGGGTGACGATCGGGTCTGGGATGCGCAGTGGTGAGCGGGGAGCTCCCAAGAAGGCGGAGGACGAGACAAAAGAGCCAGGGCAAAAACTCACTGACGAAGATGGATGGATCCCACCATTGCCTTGTCAAGGGAGGATCTTGCTGGATGTTGCCCTTGTTGTAATTGAATGGGCCGTCATCGCCCATGGCCTGCAGAACGTAGGCATCTTCAACCATTTTCTTGTTCAGTCTGTCCAGGTTCTCGTGCTTGATCAGGCCCTGCAGGACGACGAGGCCGTCGCGATGAAGCGCGCGCGTTGCAATCTCGACATTGCGCCAACCAAGTCTTCCAGCAGTCACCTCTGCCTCAGACACTCTGACGGATATGGGTTCGGAGGGTAGGATTGCGTGGGAAGCGAAAAGGCGGATGGAAACAGTCGATGTTCTGGCATGGCGCACCGACGTCACTTGGCGAGACAGGCGGGCAGAGTTGCGAGTCCACATGTCTGCCGAATTCCAAAGTGCTGGCGATGATGGCTCAAGTCTCGTCGCGCTCTTTAAATAGTATGTAGTTACAGCATTTCTCCGCTCTCCGCGCAGACCCGCCTTCTCCGCGTGGAGGGCGCACTTCCTATCTCGGAAACCCATCCGCGAATGCGGGGAAAGCTGTCAGCGGGCCGAAACGCGAGCCTCAACCAAAGCCTCATCAACATCAGTAGCACCCAGTAGCTCAATGGACTACAATACAACACATGATACTTTAAGGTTGGCGAATGCTGTTAGAAGGCTGATGCAGGTGCGGTGCGACCCCGGTAGAGGCGTCATTTTTCATGGTTAGAAGAACCTCTGTGGTCCATCGGCAAAACTTGCTCTCTTCGAAATAGAGAGCCCCCAAAGGATTGGGTACTGAGATGCCGAGACCGGAGGAAGATGCGGTCAGAGCACAAGGAGAATGGCGTTGGGGAAAACAAGTGAAGCAGAGAAGATATCTCCTGACTATGGTTCCGGCGGTCTGCGCGGCTCCGGAAGCAGCTGACATTTTTTTTTTCTCTCAGATGCTGTGCACACCACGAATACAGCAGAAGCGTCCCAGTGCTGCGGGGGCGGGAGCATCATACATGCTCGTACCAACGCACCATGCATCTCGGCATGACAAGCGAGGGAAGGGATGCCTCTTCTTGGCAGGGTGGTTCTTTGTGAGACATCAAAACTGTAATCCGCATTCCGATGTGACATGACCCACGCGCACTGTCGAGCGCCGGTGCTGTTGCCACACTTCTGTCTCGGTGGTCGCCTGCTTTCCAAATTGCGAAGCACTGCTCGATACTACGTTGCCATGAAAGGTCCCATGCGATCCGATCGTCGACCTGCGTAGACGCGGCGGCCGAGTCGCTCATATTAGCCCCAGACGACGTTTTGATGTCAGGAAATGTGGATCTCGCGTAACGTCAGCATTGCATCCGAAGCCTTGCCTCAACCCTGCGAGAGCGGCCGTTGCCAAGCCGGCAAGACAGATTACATGCAGCAACGTTGAGACCTGCAGTCAGCCCTGGTCGCCTGACTCTTTGACATGTCGGCAGTCCAAGCTCATCCCTGCATCCGCGTCCGGCGCGGTCTCCCGAGGCAAGAGCTGTTGCACTGCTGTGCGCCTCTCCCGCTGCTTTGCGCTATGGCTCCCGTCGAAACTGCAGGTGACAGCTCACAGGTGGCACAGAGCGCGGCGAAGTGCATTCCTCCCTCTCCCCTGACAGCAGGGCTGGCGGCAGCACACGCGGCTTTGAGACATCAGACAAGGAACGTCCAAAAGCTTGGGTAGACAAATTCATCCTCGAAGATGCGACGCACTTGGTCCAAGATGAACTTCTCGACTTTGCCCACGTTCTTGAGCACCTGCTTTCCTTGCTCTTTCTGGCCTATTTCGCTTTCTACTTTGATCTCTTCGAAAAGCCCGCCGGGTGCCGTCCGCTGCGCGCGTTGATTGGCCGATGCATGATCGTCAGCCAGGCTGTCCTGCTTAGCCTCTGCACCAATCAGGGCCTCTGCATCTTCGGGAGATAAGAAGCAGAAGTGCGCTCGCTTCTTGATGTAGGCCAGGATCGCGACTCCGTCAAACGTCAGGCCGGTGACGGTGAGCTTGAGTGGTATGCCGACAAAGCTTGGCATGGGGTAGTCAAGCAGGATTTCCGCAGTGAGCACCATTTTGATGTCGCCTGAGTAACGCACATGCGCAACGACCTGGAGATCTTCCGGGCTAGCCTCTTGCAAGCGCGTCGTTGGTGACGGAGACGACTTGTCACTGTCGCGCCGCTGCTTTGGGTGTTCGTTGACGTCGGAGCTAGACTTGCGGTCGTGCTGACTTTGCGGGCGCGAATCCAGATCCGCCGTCGATGGCGTATTGGAGCTAATTGATGCCGAGTGGTCGCGCGGTGTATGCGGTCTGTCCGCATGATGATAGTCATGCCATCCGTTCTGAAACTGTGCACCGGCAACGGCGGCGAAGGGGGTAGTGGTACCTGAGAGACCGGCACCGAGAGGGAGGTGGAAGTAGCTCATGTTCGAAGTGCCACCCGGAATGCCAGGTGTGGGCTCCCGGGAGAGCGAGTTGCCCAGTTGCTCGCCGAGGGCCAGTCCACTGCGTAGCCCCGTGAGGCGCGGATCCACGGGTGGCGGGCGCGCATGGTTCCATCGCGGTTCGTCTTGGGCCTTCTCGTCCCTCGGCCGCTGCTTGCGCTCCCGCAACGCTTTTGCCGCGTCGCCGCCCGCCGCCTCGGTCATGGGGGGGTCGGTGGTGCCATTGTCGGGCGCGACATCGTCGTCGTCGCCGCCGTCGTCTTCGTCGTCGTTGTCCTCGTCCTCCTCCTCCTCCTCCTCCTCGTAGAAGTCAGGCAATGGGTCGCAGATGTCCTTTATCTCAATCTCCGGCGCAACGCTGCCGAAGTCGAACGAGTGGACCTTGACGGAGCGGATGAAGCGCGGGAGGGTGACCTGCTGAAAGCGTTCGTGGATGAAGCTGCGCACCGCCTCGGCTGAAGCCTGCCCGTCAGGGCCACCGATGAGCGTGTCCCAGTGGATGTCGATCGACATGAGTGCAATTCACAGTCCCGTCTCGGACTGGCGACGGCGTGCAGGGTGACTTTGGCGGGCGTTGTCGACGGCCGGCAAGCGCGCGCGGCTCGCTTCGCCATGACGATTCTTGGCGTCTACGGCGGCCGAGCGCGTCCCACCCCCAACGCCATCGCCCCCCCCCTGCAACTCCGCTGCCCCGGCCGTGCCCGGCTCAAACCTCCCAGAACCACCTATACTCGGGCGCGTCGTCCCCGCCGCGCGGAGCTTGCGCCCAAGCAGTGACGGCAGGCAGCGGCGCGAAGACAGCCGACCGGATGGGGAAGTGGATGACAGGTTTTGTGGGTAGCGTGCTGGCAAATCTAACTTGATATGAGCCCTGGCAGGCGAACAGGCGCTCTCTCAGCAGCTACGCCGCGCAACGCCAATTCCACGGGTAAAACGGCGTCCGCGCCCCGCACGCCTGCCGCGGCTTTGCTCCGCGGATGGCTCGACGGCGCAGCGCAGATGTCAGGCTTTGTCCCAAGGAGTGATCGACGATCTGACAGCCGGCGGCTGGACTGCTCGATGTGCGACGCGGCCGGCCATGCGACCTCGCCGTCGAGAGGGCAGATACGCGGGCGGGGATCGGGATATGGAAGCGGAAGCGCACCGCGACCTTGACCTCGCCGCCGTTTGAGCGTCAGCTGTGGCGTATGTACTTGCGGCCCGGCCCTCTACTACAAATAATGTTAGCTCGGCGCTTTGTGGGGGTGATTAACAGGCCCGTTCGCCATGTAAGATACGCGTCCGAGCCAATCTACGCCGCTCGTCTGGCCTCAGTCGCCGACCTTCGTCTGTTTTGTCCCTGAACAGACAAAGATTACGTGGCCCGCACAGGCACCGCGCTAACATGATATGCCTGCAACCGTAGTACTGTTGGCTCGGATGATCTCCGTCAACCTCTTCTGGCCGCGTCGCTGCCCTTCCCCACCGTCCGCTGTGCCGCACGGGCACAGCGCCTGAGTGGCGTGCTCTGCAAGCTTTATCCCGCATGGTCCCTCTGGCCTCTTGCGGCACGCGTCTGAGTTTGTATGCCTGCCGCCGTTGGGCAGCAATCCGTCCGGGCCACAAAATTAGCCAGCGCCGATTGAGGCGTGGTGCGGCCGGCGTGCGAGTGCAATCATTTCGTGGCGCGCCGAAGGGTTAACGCCGCGTGCGCATGGCTGGCTGGCACCCTTTCTGCTACGAGCTGCCTCCAAGGCCGAGTGCGCACCAACCAGGGCGCTCCTCAAGGGTTGCCCTGCGGGGATTCCTCCGGCTAAACAGCCGTAAGCGATTGGCGAGGGTTTGCAGTATCTCCGCCGTTGATGATCAATCGGAGATAATTTGCATTTTCTTCACTTCCAACGGTTTTCCTGTACGACATGGGCCGTGACATGGCCGCCGGACAGCCCATGGCGCATTGGCACGCCGTCGGGCACAAGCGTGCCGCAGTCTTGATCAAACGGTCTTGGAAGCTTGATTGATGGCCAGTACTCTATTCCTTGCCGCGTGTCCGCTGTGCCGCCTGCCCGGACGAAATGAGAGAAATGTAGCTGCGATGAGAGAAAAGAAAAAGTTCCTGCGCCGTGTTTTGCCCATCCAAGAAGGTACCAGTACAGCCCGGGCGCGGGTGCAACGAGACATTACAATTTCCAAAGACTGCGAGAAGAACATCCAAGTGAATCACAAATGAACGCCAGTCCTGCTGAACGCCAGCTTCGTGGCCGTCGAGCGACGGCCTCCCATGCCATTGGAACGCCTGCACTTTTGTCTCCGTGACGCCATCATATGCTCATGTCGGTGCTGCCAAGCGAAAGCTCAGCGAGCGGGTGCCCGGCGAAGTGTGCCCGGAGGGGGTTGTGATGATACTAGAGGTGGGGAGGGATATCGAGGAACGGCCCGCGTTTCTGCTTTCTATAACCGCATGCGTGGGGGGGTATGGTGGTGGTGCTGCTGCTGCCGGGCGGCGAGGGATGGCGTCCCGGGCGGAGCTCGTGGTGCACGCTGCAGAGGCAGGTCAGAGTCGTGGAACAGCGGCGCGCAGGCGGGCAAAGGGCAGGTACCTGTCATCCGTCGCAGCGATCGCACTTCTCGTCGTGTTTGACAATCTTTTGGTTCAGCACGCCGCAGGCGGCGCTTCTCGAGGTGGCGCACGGGGCCTTCTCGACGACCTGGTGGCCGCAGCTGTAGGTGTGTATTACTTTGGTGCACATGGTGGGCGGCAGGGCGGCGGCTTCGGCGGCGGGTGGGTGTGGTGGGGGAGCTTGGAGCTCTTTCTGGGATGCGGGATGCGGGCTGCGGGCTGCGGGCTGCGGGCTGGGGCGCGGAAATAGTCGCGCGCAGGAATGGCGAGCAAAAATAAGAAAACAGGACGACGCGTGGCGGACAATTGCTGCGCTGGCGCGGGCGAGGGCGAGGGCGGAGACGAGTCTGGAGGGGGAATTGAGGAGGATTGACGGTGACCTTGCTTGGGCACAATTTCGGCGTCGAGGGAGGCACGGCGAAGGGGAACCGCGTGCTGGTGGAGGAGGGCAGGTCTTATAGAGGCATATTGAGGCAAGCCCGGCAGTATGGGACTTCGTGGGAGGTTAATAAAAAACCGTTTGCAACATCGAGTGCGACAGCGCGGCGGTCGTGTACAGCCGTTGGAACAACACGGGAAGGCAAGGAATTCATGTACGAGCGTTGGCCTCGCTGACAGGGAACGGCCGGGGCCAGGGTGATGCTGCTATCCAAGCTCCATGGTGATTAGCACGGGCGGCAGGCCAATAGTCTGCTAGCGGCAGGTGGTCGAGGAGCACACCCAGGCGACCGATCATGGGCCGGTACATGCCTACCTACAGGACGCATGGCTGCCGGGCGCTCAATCCAGCAGTGCCGCCCGAGCAACACACTACTCGCTTTAGGAACTTACGCATCCGCCTGCTGCCCCACCGCGGAGCGCTCAACAGCGTCCCGGCCAAGCCCTGGCGATCACTGCCGGCGCACACCGCACTGTATCAGCCTTGTGCGTGGATCGCCGTTTGTGTGTTTAAGCTGCAGTCAGGCCATCTTGCGCCTGTATTAGCACCGCGCACTTGCCGTTGTGCGAACGGAGCCCGCCTGATTTGTATTCGCCCGAGCATTCCTCGCACATGGCACCCTTGCGCTGGCAAGTCTCGCGCGGCGCGGTGCGGGCGGTGCAGACGGTGCAGCGCGGAAGCCGGAGCGGTGGGACACCACCACGCAAGGAGCCGGCCCTTACATGGCGGCGCGCGGTCAGCAGCAGCAGCGGCCGTTGCTCGCGGTGGAGCAAATCTTACGTTTGTCCCGCCAGCCTTACATGTGATGTGGTTCCTGCCTGTCGCCGCCAGTCGCCGCCGGTCGCTGCCGGTCGCTGCCAGCCGCTGCCAGTCGCTGCCGGCGCCGCAGGGAGAGGCCGCCGGCCCTTGTTGGGGGCACCGAAGGCACCAAAGGCATCGCATAAGGCCCGCGGCTAGCAGCTCGATGCCCCCGCTGCCACGCCCGCCCTCGCGTGCCCAGCGCGACATCGGCGGCCTGTCGAGCGCGGCCGCCGTGTATGTACTGTGCGCCTCGCAGCAGCAGCTTCCCTTCCCTCTTCATCTCCCGTCCCCAGCCAGACGCCCGCTGCGCACACGGAGCGCTCCCGCCCGCGCAGCACCCAACCGGCCGCCCACGGAACCTGCAACATCAGCGCGCCCGCCACTACCCTCGCGCTCAGAGGCATGCACCCTTGGACCTAGCCCGGCCTCGGCTACCCTCGGCCCCAGCAAGCACTGGACGATCGCGACAGCAGACTCGGATGGGCCACGGCGAAGACGACGTGTCAGCGTGCGCCGCGAAGCTGCTCTGTAGGCGCAGCTCCAACGAGTTAGGCCCTCGGGGGCTATGCGGGGGAAGCTCGACGCAAGGAGGTGGCCCCAGCGAGCCCCAGCGCGCCCCAGCGAGCCCCGGCCACAGGGCCTAGCGCGGGGTAGACCGCGACTACCATGATGCCCCGAGAGCAGCGCGAACACCTCAGCCCGCAAGCCTCACGCGCTGTCCAGAACAGCAGCGACGAGTGCAGGGCCGCAGGTGCTACCTCCGCCGCCCCGCGACACGCGCACGATGCGCTGCCACGCTCTGCCACGCTCTGCCACGCTCTGCCACGCTCTGTGGACCTGCCTTGCCCCGCCGCCCTCACCGCTACCTTATCTGGCCCAGCGCGCCGCTGCGCCCACACTGCGATCAACCTCGGGTGCGCGACGAAAGCCTTGGCCCTTACTCGTGCTCGTCGAGGCCCACCCCAAACAGATGACGTCTCGCCCGCAGCCCGCACCGGCCCTTCTTCGTGCGCCCGCCCTGGACGAGCGGAACTGCTGCTTACAGGCGGCTTATAGGCGTGGGCAAGCCGTGGTTGCCCGGGGAATCTCCAGACAACGGCCCAGTCCAAGCTATAGACGCCACCTCGGATACCATCGTCGCCGTACTTAACCAGCAGGACCACCCCCCGCCCCCTTCTGCACCTTCCACGGCTCGCCTGAACCCACTGCGCTCCTACTGATTGCGCTGCACCAACGAGACAAGCCTCGTGGCCCACACTCGACTGGTCCCCTGAAACGCCAGGTCTTGCACACGTGCTCCCTTTGTCCGGCCGATCCGCCCCCGACCGTGTCACCTTGGAAGACTTAAATTCAGCTCAGCTTCTGCTTTCCCCCCTCAATCCGTCAGCTCCAACTTCTCCATCCACCGCAGCTTTTCTCCCGTGCCCGCAGCCCTCGTCCTCGCTCCAAACCAACCACAGACTTCCAAAATGGCCTCCAACTTGAACCACCTGCTCTCGGCTCGCCGTCCCTCCAACTTCCTGGTGCTCGCGCCCACGGCCTCTGCCAACTACCCCACCTCGCCCAAGGCACTCGCACCTGCGGCTCCTGCCTCCAAGGAGCCCGTCTCGCCGACTGAGGACCTTGGTTCCCCCGTCGTCAAGCCGACGGACAATGTCGCTCCCGAGATCGCTGCCACGCCCAGGGACCACCGGTCTGACAGCGTCAGCAGCACCGGCTCTGCACGCTTCAAGTTCCTGAAGCTGGGCCCTGTCCACTTCGGCAAGGGTGACAGCGAGACCGACTTCGCCGATGCCGAATGAGCCCCTCGATCTCTTCACGGTGTATCACCATCAACTCCTCACTCTGCAACCCTGGGTGCGATTCCCACGGTCGGGCCTGGATGACTTCTGCAATCGGTGCACCAGCCTTTCCGGATTGGACTGATTCGTCGTGACTTGATTCATGGGTTTTCGGATATTGGCTATCACTGTCCTCATGCTTTGCTGGACGAAGCCCGAGCGGTGCTTGTTGGACCTTGTTATTGAGTCGGTTTGCTCGCGGACACATCACTATGGAGGACGCACAAGGTCAAGGACCCCGAAAGTCAGAGTGTCACGATTTTTACGATACTAGCAATAGAATCATCTCCTACAGCTGCCTCTACCTGCATGCTTTCCCGTGCTCTGTGAGAATGAGTGAAGTCATGTTTTGACGTCATGCCAGGCCACTTGCACTTGCTCTGTCCCGCGTCCCACACTTAAGCTTCTATACCCCAGTTATTGATGGAGCCTATGGTGGAGATCGGGCCATGTCGGTGTGACCGCAGACCAATGGGGGCTTCATCGGTAGCGCTGCGAACCAATCGAAGCTGCTCTCAACGCTGCAGTCTTATCCGCCGGTCGATCCTGTAGGCAAATCCAAGTCGCGAAATCCATTTTCCTGCTTGCGCGCGAGAGCTCCTCAACTCTGGATCCGGGTTCCCGGTGTGAGACAGGTCAGCATCCAGGCCGCGACCTCCTGGATCAAAGAGAAGGGGGCGCTAGTTCACAACAAACCGTCTGAGGCGATGAGCGTTCGACGTCGGCCATGACGCCTGCGATGAAAGGGGGTGGCGGTCCCAAAAGCTGGCGTGGAATGCAAGTAGGTGCACGATGGTCTACGCCCTCGTCCCGGAGTCATATCCGCAGCGCATGACGCTGCAGAGAGTGTATACGCTACGGAGAGTACGAGAACTGTCACAGCGGACCTACGAGTAGCGTGTTCTGGGCGCTGGGGCTGCTACTTCCTTATCAGGTTAGATGGGGGGTGGGATCTATGATCATCCACGGACACTAAGGAATCGCTAGTCCGCCGGAGTCCAAAACCCGAAGACACCTCTTTAGTCTCTCTCTCTCTCTCTCTCTTTCTCTCTCTCCTTCTTACCGGCGCACGAGCTCCTAGTTTGGTTGGCTCCGGCGATGGCACTTCGGAGTGGCTCCCTGACACGCAAAGCCAGTGCTTTGCGACGGCTGTGCCCAATATTCCAACGCTGGGAGGAGTGTGGGATGCGCGACGACTTGAGCTTCGTCTTGTCTCATCTCAGGCCTGGATCGCAGACCATCCACATACCCCAAGACGGCTGTCTGGCAAATGAGCGGTCTGTGCATGCTGGGCAGGGGCAAACAACGAGACGGAGTCTTGGCAAAGCGACAACTTCAAGTCATTATAGGAGAACGAGGCTTGCGCGGGCTGTGAGCCCGACTCTTACGGAGTGGAGGCGCCTTCGTACGCTTGTGGCGTCTTGGACTTGGCTCCATCGCTACGGTTGTCATTCAATAATCGAACAACAGATAGCAGCAATAACAGGGCATGCGCTTTTGATCAGCATATGTAAATGCTTGCGGGACGCAGGATGCCCGAGGACCCGTAAGGGTAGGGTGCTATAGCATCATGATACCCTCTTCTACTTCGGGACTAGTCTTAAAAAACAGCCAGGATGCTCACAGTAATCGAGGAGGAAGAGTAATGATACAATGCACAAGTCAGGACAGGAGCACTCAAGAGCCCTAACGCTTTGCGGTAGGCGGAAGTTGCCATTTTGCTCAGCGCCCTGTTGCCTCGAGAGTACGTCCGTAGTGTTGCACAGTACCCTTCATTTTAACCAGTCTTGGCGCGCAGCTTGATTAACTCCATTGCTTCTTCCGCGGGAGCTCGGAAGCATCTTCCCCGGTCGGGATCGACCTTCTCCTTCCCGCAAATCACCATTCCCGGAACACTCAGCCGGCCGGCGGTAGATGGCAAGCTTTGAGTTTGCTCACATATCAATATCAGTTGAGTAGAAGATATCTGAGCACCTAAAGGATCTCATGTTCCTTGCCCATATCGTCCCTGGGTACCCTTCATCCTTTCCTGTCATTTTTTTTTTCTGTCTCTTGTCAGCATGGGTAGGGAGTGAAGCGCTGCGGCCTAACGCATGGCTCCCGCGACCCCAGTCCATGCGGCTCATCGTCCGATCTCACGTGCCCGGATCTCCGGCGCGAACAGGGAGCATGTCTGCTCAAGCTGTGATCGTCGACTCGCTCTCCGCAAAGTGCCCCCCTGGTTTTCCCGGGGGTGTTTCTCAGCATGCCCGTCAGTGCTCCTTGGCACCGGCCGCGGGCATTGCGGCCGTCTTGATGAGCTCTCTCGTTTTACGTTCGAGGCCCGCGATGCTTGCCACTGAGTCGTCAGAAACACGGCGCACTATCGAAAAACGCCGGCTGAGAAGATAAGCTCAGAGTGAAATGATCTGGCTGAGCAACGGCACGTAGCGTCGGTTCGCTAAAGCTTCCAGGCTTCTTCCTTTCGCCTTCTAGCCGGGGGAAAGCCCACCTGTTCTGAGCTAGGATGGAGCTTTTTGGTTTTTTTTGGGGCACCTTTTCGAGTCAAAACCCTCGCCCTCGATACGAGTGAGCGTAGAGACGAAATTGGGAAGTCTTCGCCGGGTCAACGAGCGGACGACGATGCTGTCTGCCCCACCCCACTCGGTCACACACCTTGGCCAATGGTAGTGACAGACGGGCGGCGGGGATGGGGGG